CGCTCTCCTGCATACAAATTTGAATCAAAGTCTTCAACTTTGCTAAAACCCACAAACAATGAACTGTTAGAAATTCGAACCCAACGAAGGTAATACCTGCTCAACAGGAGGCAAAACCTTGTCTGTAAGATTGTTATCCTCCGAACTGAGCTCCATCTTGATCCTTATAACCTTAAAAACCAAACAACTCCATTACAATCAGACAGTAAATCCTAAATAATTTAGATTATCCCCTGTCTCATCTATGTTTCAATAAAATAGAACGGAAACAGCTAGGAAGATAGAGGTTATTAGAAACGAAACCAAGTTCAAATCGAAGAAGCCTTCACCTGCGATTAAGAGAACACGCGCCGCGCGAAGAGAAAAGAACAAACAAACGGCGGTGAAGCTATTTAGGGTTTGAGCAGGAAAAAAACGGGTTAATGCGCCAAAGAGGAGGATACTGAGAGCTCCGACATCGATCCTCACTGACGACTGAAATTGGGGGTTTTTGTATTTTTAGGGTTTTACGAGAAGAAGAAAAAAAGATAATTTTTTGTAGACAAGGCCTAAGAATACTATAAATTGGGCCTGATCTTATATAAAAAGGCCTATCGTGACCCACGAGCTAGGAATAATCTCAATTAGGCCTGGCAGAGCTAATTAAAAAAAAACAATTTACGAGTATATTGACCCATTTAAGTTAAGCATAGAGAGAGTTAGAGTAGAGATAGAGTAAAACCGGTTTAATTCACTGATATTGTAAAGCAAATAGATACCGTAAAAGCCGCAAGTTCAAAACTCCAATAAAGTAATAAACCCGTGAAAACTCTTCTTCTTCTACTGTAATAAACTGTACAGTGGAAAACAAAGAAAAAAGTTATCCTGTAAAAAAAAAAAACAGAAACCCCTAAACTATTTTTAGACTGTACGTACGACAAAATTTTCTTTTGTTAAATAACAACAAATTAATATGGGTCCACTCCCATACATACATATCTATAGATTATTAATTCATACTTTTGTTTTTTCATAATTAATTCTTTCGTTTACGTTTTCATATGAGAGTACATTTCTTTTTTTATTCTTTTTAATTTTTTTTTTTTTAAATATCAAAATGTACTTTCCTGAATTTTCTCCCGATCCAACATTTTTTAACACAACCATGACTTAAATGGAAAAAGATTCTTGTTATGGTACGGGGCATGCATGAAGAGCTGCTCGTTTTGCTGCGACTGACTCAGACGACGGCTTCGCCTAGCTAGTAATGCAGAGATCGAATGTAACAATTACTACTATCTCTGTTAATCTCTTGCGATATTTAAATTTGTTTAGACAAAAAGTAGTTTTGTCGTTCACGGTTCTATATATCTCTGGCTATCATAGGGAGACAATTGGTGATGAAGATTCTAAACCATCCAAGAGAGAGCCCATCATGCTCCTTATCTTTTTGCTTTTTTGGTGTCGATTGGTATCAATATATATATATATATATATATATATATATATATATTTATTTATTCTTTGGAATTTTATGGTTTCTTTTTCAATTTTATTATTCTTTAGATATTGTTAAACTACTATATTTCTATTATTATATTTTTTTCTACGAATAAATTCATGATTTGGAGGCCATGCACGTTACGTTTCACTTGCTTTCTTTGTCCACATTGTACATTACAACATATAAAATGTTAACACGGCAGTCAGTGGCATGGATGCTAAAACATTTATTCTTGCTATTTTTATTTTCATTCACATTGATGCCAAAACAAATATATGTAGTAAATTTCATCAATTATATCGGATATAAACTCGAATCAAATTGCATGATCTTGAAAACCTAATTTTATTAGCGAGTCATAGGTTTTCTAGTCTCGTTTATGTTCAGAAACATGCATTATTGTACTTCTTATAATTGATCAAATTTTAATTATATGATACTTGCTCATTCCTGTTCCTCATATGTATGGATCGATTTAATTAGGAACCTTAGTTAATCTTTCATCTAAATGCATGTCCCGCAACATGCATAAGATTATTATAAATTATTACAAATTCGGAAAGCATTTTTAATCATGAAAATAATAATTTAAATTCGGATCTAAGATTTACTTAAACAGTCTAATTTTCATGTGATTTAACAAACGACACCGGATAATTTGTCTTCTTCAATGTGGATATATATGTACTAATTTTAAGTATATATATCTTATAAATAATTGAAACTTTAAAACAAAGTCGAAACGAAACAAACAAACAGAAATGATTTGGAATCCTATGCATATGCAACAAATTTGAGGACTATACGTGGATTTGCCCCCAAAAAAAAAAACACATTCATTCTTATCACTTAGGTTCGTTTTTCTTTAGTTACCAACATGTAACAGTTGATCTTTGTTTCTACAATGTTCGTTCCTTGTAATCAACCTGTGATGTAGGGCCATCGTGTCTTATGCCTCGAAACTATATGTGAGAATCTTTCCCTCAACAACAACTAAAGTGGTAAAAATTTCATTACAGTATTTGTGAATATCCTATTTTTTCTTGTCTGAGAGTATACTTGAGAACTTTTAACCCATATTGATCAAGTACTATATATATAACTAGATCTAGGGGTCTTTAAAATCTGATTATCATGTCCTCGTTGGGTTCATGAATTTTCCGTTTATAGGAATTATATGTTGAACCTAATTCAGACAAGATCTACTTTTCTGTTACATTATTAAACTTTCATTTGTAGTAGTTTCTGACTTTTTGTTTTTGTTTTTGTTTTTGTTTTTCTTTGATTACAAATGCATTATTTATTTCATATATATATAGGACGTACAGTTTCAGACTTTAAGTCAGTTTGTTTTTTTATTCCGGATTCTTTTTTTTTTACAGTCGTCTATGCATGATATGGTGTATACAAGTTGGTTTGATTTTTAGATGGTTCGGTTCGGCCAAAGATTTAACAACCGGGGGTAACTGGACCACCGAAACTTCAACATCTCGGTTATAATTGGATGGCCATTCTAAAAATGCTACAGATTGTTTGATCGTGATGGTATGGCCTCGTGACCTTACAAATAACATCGGCTTATCCTGATTCCCTCATTATGTATCTCCCTCCGTATAAATCAAAAGCATTAAAACGTGTCAATGTCAATAGACAAACCCAAACAAAAAAGAAGTTAATGAACGTACATAAAAAATAAAAATAAGAAGAGGTAAGGTTGACAAAAATTTAAGTTAAAAAAAAAAAAGAAATAGGGTGGTGAGAGATTTGAGATCCTGCTGAGAGAGATCATATAGATCTTTCCACTTCTGTACTATTTATTTGTTAATTTGGATATTACTACTGACTCTCACTTACACAGATCTACTACCCCTAATACGTATGTATCATTCATCACCACATGCTTTTCCAAACTCGATACGTGGCATGTCCAAAAAAATATGTCATATTTTGCCGTAATATTACTCAGCAAATGTAAGATACAGCTAGCTTAAGTGTGTACATCACTGTACATGTTAAAATTCAGAGCTACTGATCGAAATTTAATATCTTAACTTCAAATACGACACATCACAAAGAAGACAAAAAGGTAAGTGAACAACGTAGCAAAATTTAAACTGAACATTTAAATCGTACGTACCACATCGATTTTTCAGTTGTAATTAAAATATTAGATTTTGTGAACAAGTTAGGTGGAAAACGCAAACTATTTAATTATAAGACTTTTTTTAATATAAAAAACTCATGTTACAGCCTTTTTAAAAGGTATTGTATTTACATCTACGAAATAATTAAGGAGTACGCAAAGCAAACTCATGTTACAGCCTAATTATTTGTTCTATGGCATGTCAAAGCTTATTGGAGTATATATATTTTTTCTTTCTCACATTATTAAACTCGGCGTGTAAAACGTTGCGGGTCCATCGTATATCTTGAAATCATATAGTCACGTAAAATTTATACAGCTTTTCACATTATACATTAAAGAAGAGGATACAGAAACTGATGCGATCACTTTGCTTACATAAAATATAATTGATGCATGGACTAGTTTTTAAATCTAATCACATGCCATGTCGTTTAGGTTGTATTATAGGTACAAGACACATCTCTTAACCAAACTTTATGTTTGAGATCTAAGATAAGACGTTGGTCTAAAAATTTGTATATATTATATATAAACCAACCTTTATGTTTGTGTACTTTTTTCTGTAATTTACTACCTAGAGTGGAGACGAGATGGAGTATAATATTTTGACGGTTCGAGTTCTTTCTATATAGACACACTTTAATGTTGTTGTTGAGACCATAACCCACACGTCTTTGGATAGGAGACCGATGGTACGAGAACACCATTTGCGTTTGTTTCCATGAGTTATGGCCCTCCTCCTTTTACTCGCATGCACTGTGCTTCTAACCTTTTAGAGTTTCTTTTGTCTTTTGTATACTCTTTTGCGGAAAACTTTAACTGTCTTCCACAATTTTACATTACCATTCAACAAAATATAACATTACAACATCCCATATAAGTTCATCATCACAAAGATTCATTTAATTTTAGATGGTTTTACGTAATTAATTATTAACAAAAATAGGCAACCCAATTGGCAAAATTGTGATCCACATGTGCGCTCTCTAGCAGCTACTCTTGCTAGTTGTACATATATAGATACAAATACTGAAACACACAACAATACAAGTAACTTACCATCCCTAGTAAAACTATATTTTTTCCTAATTCGGAAATTACGTTCCATTCTCCTAATTCCTCTCTATATATATATTTTACCTTACTTTTTATCCCCATTCTATTTTTATTTTCTTTTTTCTTTTTTCATGCTAAAAGGTAACTCTCATTTCTAAATGGGACATTCTTACTTTTATGTGTGTGTATATAGGTGTATGTAAAGACACAAACACATATAACAAAGACCCATCTCAACCTCTCACTTCTCTAAGAAGCTTTCTCCACATCCACAAGAAAAAGTTTCGCCAAGAAACAAAACACAGAATTATAGATATGGATCTTGAGTTACTACAAGATTTGTCCAAATTCAGCTTCCCAGCATCCATCAAGATCCGATCCAAACCCTCAAAGGCAAAGAACGAGGAAGCAGGTGGCGATGACAACGAAGATGTCCTCAGCTGCAGTACACCGACATCACAAGAACACAAGATTCCCGCCGTCGTAGACTCTCCACCTCCTCCTCCGAGAAAACCCCGTCCACCACCGTCAGCACCGTCGGCTACGGCTGCTCGGATGATCAGATCGTGCAAGAGGAAGCTTTTGGTGTCGACTTGTGAGATTATCATGAACCGGGAAGAGATTGATCGTTTCTTCTCCTCCGTATACAATGAGGCGTCGACGACGGCCAAACGGCGGAGAAGTTATCCTTATTGTGCTCGAAGATGAGGCTTGAACTCAAAATATTTACATTTTTTTTTACAGTTTTACTAGAAATATTGTGAAATTATATGTTGGTGTTCGGTGTGTTTTAATATTTTTAAAATTTAATTACGAGAAAATGGAAGGGATAATTTTCTGCAACCTCATATTAATTTCCGCATGGAGGGGTCGATGTTGTAAATTCAGTAATAAATGAAAATTTAATTCCAATTGCCAAGTTTTCTATATAATAATTGTGATATTTATGTCATTTATAAGAGACAAGATCGTTTTACACAAATTCATGGGAAAAAAATAGCACCACAATGTATATTGTCGACTTGTAAGTTTAACAATGAGTTTATATATCATTACCAAAAAAAAATGAGTTTATATATGACGACCAATGTAAACAATCTGCAGGCAGCCACTATGAATAATCAACATATCTCATGGTATAGTGTTACTACATATATTGCTTCATGAACAATGGGTGGTACATAATCTTTTAAAATATCAAATCATTGCATTTAAGTAAGCAGATGAGGCAATCAAATCAAATAAAACTAACACTAATTACTCGCTATAGTTTCATACAAGTTGATGTCAGACTTATATCCCTCTTTTAATTTTGTTTCTTTATTAAAAACACAAGTCTATATTTTGTAATTGTAAAATTCATACAAATATCAAATTATATAAATAGCTAGCGCTACAAAAATACATACACGATAACTTGTACTCTGTTTTTTTTCTAATAAGTAGTTGAACAAAATAAGTAATTGTTTTTTTACCGCAGAATGTCAATTAGAGTCCTAGTGGCTATCTCACTAGCTCTCTCTAATCTAATAAGTATCTATCAAAGGGCTATGTGTATCATCCACTTTGCTAGTTCAGTAGCTTCTAACTTTCTCTTTGCTTGACTTTACCATCCTCTATGACCCTAAAAGATCATACCATGTACTTTATTCAATTTTACTTGCACTAAATTATTACAAAGAAAGGGAACCAATTAATAATGTTAATGATAGCAATTAACTGGGTTAGCTTATAATAAATGCTAATGGCGTTTAAAAGTTTGTAGGTGTTAATTTGGTAGAAGATGTATTGGTTGCGTGTCCTAAGTGTAATCGTGAAAGCAACAACGCAAAGATAATGAAGCCTCGATCGATTTTTTTTAATGTTTTAACTGTACATTGTACAGTACAAAAAGCATGCACATGAAACTTAACTCAGTTGTTATACATACTATTAGAGAATTAATCAAATTTATTGGTCTGAAGTTCATGCTGGTGTTTCTGGCTTTTTGACCGGCCGGTATAGCGGCGGACGCAACTTTGGGATCTGAAGATACTTATATATTACGCAATATTCATTTTTGTATAGTATATGAAAAGAACATATTCTAAAGTTTTCGACATTCGAAGTTGATTCTCATTGTTTATTTCTTTATGGTTTCAAAGTCACCACCACACTGTATTTAAGAAAACAAATGAATCTTTTAGTTCATTTGTTTAATATGACCGGAAAACATGCATGTGTGGTTAACATGTTATAAATTCAGACTGTTTTCAACATTTTTGCAGTTGTCATGGAGTCAAATTTACAATCACATAAAGCGATCATGACTAGTGAACTATTCTTTTTGGAAATTAACATAGCTAGACTAGTGAACTATTGTAATTACTGTTTTTTTTTTTTTTTTTTTTTTTTGGTTCAGACGATTTAAATATCAGCTTGAACTTGGGAGTTTTTAGAAATAACATGTTATGTTATAGTATTATATGATTACAAACTGAAAGATAAATCATGTTTCAGTTTATTTAGTTTTTGAGTAAAAATAACTAATCTGTGTTTTATCTTGTTCAGTTCAATTTAGCAATGAGTACCAAACACGATGCACTAAATGAATGTATATAGTGTATTTAGTAAATGCAAGGTACTGTGGTAGACGACTAGCTAAGTAAATTGCATGTTACAAATTTCGATATGTAAACCTCAACCTCATGCATTCATGCATGTGTTGTATTTTGTATCATGCGCGTCTCTCTTGAGTCTTGAATCTCTCTTTCAAGTTTTCAACAACCTTTTTGTATTTTTTTTTTAAGAAGCAACCAACTTTTTTATAAGTTCTTTTATTGACGGACAAAGTAAGAAGACACGATTAACTCACCAGACCAACACCAATTAAATGGAAAATTAAATATACAAGTAATTAAATGTCCCTGAAATAGAATTAATTGGGGGGGGGGGGGGGGTGTGGAGTTATTCATTAGACCAATCGAATTGAATGGGAAATTAAATATATGTTTGTATATAGTAGTGGTAATGAATAATGCTATGATGGTCCTGCGAAGAAGAAGGAGCCATGTCTACGCAACTGCATCCAACAAGTGATTTTGTCTTAGAACATAAGCTAACTCTTTTTCTTTACTTCTTTCATGATTGTGTAATTTGTAAGGTCCTATATATCTCACTTATTTCATCATTGCTTGAGTTATATATTATTTAACAAATTATAGTGTGTGTGTGTGTGTGTGATGTATCATCATGTCGCATATAAGAGGAGCTACAACAGTTTCTTGATTTAATAGTTTTTTGTTTTGTTTTTAGAGTAATATTTCATAGATTAAACATCATCAACTAAACGTCCAAGCTAATTTAATTTACTGTCGGTTTGGTTTAAAATTATTAATAAAAATTAGTAAAAAAGAAATTTGGGTGAGTTTTTTTTTTTGTAAACCAAAAAAATTTGATGAGTTATGTATGTATTACTTTAAGGAAAAAGTGAAAAACTTACTGACGATAATGGGTTGAACATCCAAAACGTGGTGGATTGGGCTGGACATATTTTATCAGGTCATAGTGGGCCATATGGCCCAAATATTAGCATATCACGAACGTATCAGAAATATTAAGCTAACTACTTATAGGAAATAGTAAATGTTTTAAAATAGTAGAGTCGGATCCGCGCTACAGCGCGGGGGAAAAGTTTCGACTTGTTTTTTTTATTAAGAAAAACATTTTCTTAGGGAGAGATTTTTTAGTTGTATTGATAATTTTTCATGATAAATAAACATTATTGATTAAATAGTTGCAATTGGGAATGAGGGTAATTATTCTTTTTCGTTAATCCATATAGTTTAAATTTTGGTGGGTACATAACTAATATATTTTTAATAATAAGTGTTCACAAAAAGTGAATAAATTTTCTATATGATTTTAAATCATATTTATATAAGATTTGGTATTACAAAGTATTTGGTTGTAAAACTTAAGTGGTGTGTATTATACTCTGACCCGTTGCAAAATTATCAATAATTTTAATATAAGTTCTGACCCGTTGCAAAATTATCAGTTAATATTTATAATATTTGAACTTTTTAAAATTTCTAATATTTTATACATTTTAAAATTTAAATATTATGATATTTTGAAGCTTTCAGAAAAATTTAATTTGTTCAAACTTAAAACCGGTTTATACCAAATAAAACTTTTAAATTTGCATGCATGATAAATCAAGTTTAGTGTTCATCGTAGTTCGAAACATGTTGGTCTTATTTATAATGATCTGAACTATTTCCAAAAATATTTTAGCCGATGTGGGACGTTGTACATACACTTTATTTTTGTCAATCGAGTAATATATGTCCGCTTTGAAAATTTCAAATTGCAACATATGTAAGAAAATGTTAAATTTTATTATAAATTCGTATTATATATTGTAATATAGTAAATTAAAAATCAAATCAAATTAAGATGAAAGGAGAATAATAATTGTTTTTAATATTTCTTTTTAATTAGTTAAAGTAATATTAGGAAACCCAAATTTGGATTTGGAAATAATATAGTCTACAGGGGAAGTATCCGATTTTATATCCAAACCTAATCAAATATCCAATTTTGAAGTATCTAATTGAAAATTCCGGATCAATTTCTTTACAAAACCCGACCTGAAAAATTTGTGTACTTCTCTTTTTACTATAGCAGGGATTGATATTTTACTTTACGTGCAAGTTTAGATTTTGCCACATATGGGCCAAAGTCTTATTTTGCCACATATGGGCCAAAGTCTTCCGTTTTGAATCTGAAGGGCATCTAAATGGGCCATAACATCCTTTTGCTTATATTTTAAAATCTCCTATTATTTCGTGGAAGGAGCCGGAAGACTTGGAAGCTAATGTTTTAAGATATCCAATTGCCTAAGTCGGGTAATTTGGCATGGATTGAACCGACCCGTTTTGGGCAAAATTATTTAAGTACCCTTTGAGTAAGTGTTAACGCTCTCTAGCGAATGTTTTACGAATGGTTTTTCTGTAAATTTGTTTTTTTATTTTTTTGGAGGAAAAGTGTACTCCTCTTTTACTATATAGGAGATAGTTTTCGTACACAGGATTTTGATAAATGACTGAAGGCTTTGAATCAATGCGGCGTGGATATTTTACTACGAAGAAGACAACGCAAGTTGCTGTTTAACTTATTTGTATAAATATGGACGTAAACATTTTAAGTAGGTGGATCTTGGAAGTGGTGTACAACGTCTCTTTAGAGTTTAGAATAGTCGGACGGACATATCACATTCACATATATATGTATCCATATTTCTTGGCTACGCCTACGCGTGTCCACCACATTTAGGAGATAATGCCTCTAGTTATAAAATAAACAATTTTAATGAAAAGATAACTGAGAGAATCTTCTACAGTAAGAGCTCACAGGCCCAACCAAAGGACCATTGAATCCCATATATATTGAAGATATACAGGATACATATATAAACATACAAATATTTACTGTCAGAGATAAAGAGAGAGAGAGAGAGATGGGAGAGCTTGTGTTTACAGAAAAGCAAGAAGCTTTAGTGAAGGAGTCTTGGGAGATACTGAAACAAGACATCCCCAAATACAGCCTTCACTTCTTCTCACAGTAATTACATATACATAAGCTTTTATATACTTATAAGCATTTAAATTTTACATACATATGGTGTTTATATATCTGAGATTCTTTTAATGTTGTGATAGGATACTGGAGATAGCACCAGCAGCAAAGGGCTTGTTCTCTTTTCTAAGAGACTCAGATGAAGTCCCTCAAAACAATCCTAAACTCAAAGCTCATGCTGTTAAAGTCTTCAAGATGGTAGTTACTTACTTCTTTTTTCGATTTTGTTTATGTGGATGCATCTCTTACATATATATGTGTATCTCTTACATATATTCGTGTCATTATCTTAACACTTATTAGCAGTAATAAGACTGAAATTAGACTAGTTCGTTATTACATCTTGAACCTCTATCAGATAATATATGTGTGTTACATATTACATGTATATTTTTCTTTCTTTTCTATATATTACAGGAAAAATAGTGTAGATCAGATTATTTTGTCTCTTATTGACGCAGCCATGTGCTGCACACGATTTGTTGTCAATGTTGTTTGGACTTTGGCTAGTTGGCTTTGTCTTCTTCTTTGAGTAACAATATCTCATAGAATTAGTAACGAATGTTTATATTGGTCCAAGCGGTTCGGTTCGGTTCGCTTTTGTGGATATTCAATTGCTTGCTAATTGCTACAATAGGATCGGATAGCATAACCATATAAACCAAATTAAGTTTAGTTTCTATGAGTTTGCTGACTTTATTTAATATTTTTGGGGTGTAGACATGTGAAACTGCAATACAGCTGAGAGAGAAAGGAAAGGTGGTGGTGGCTGATACAACCCTCCAATACTTGGGCTCTATTCATCGCAAAAGCGGCGTTATTGATCCTCACTTCGAGGTCTCTTTTTAACAAATAATATTCTATATAAAATACTACAAGAGTACATTTTACTTTATTTTGATTTTCAATTAAAGTGGATGTGAACGCATTGCAGGTGGTAAAAGAAGCTTTGCTAAGGACATTAAAAGAAGGGCTGGGGGAGAGATACAACGAAGAAGTGGAAGGAGCTTGGTCTGAAGCTTATGACCACTTGGCTATAGCCATTAAGACCGAGATGAAACACGAAGAGTCATAAAACCCTAAAGATCATTTGGGTTTCACATACATGTATATGTGATATATTAAGCATATACATATGTTTCTGTACATGTATGTACTATGTTGCTCTTTGACTTTCTATAGATCCTTCCTTTTGAAGAAGGACCTTGAGTTGAGCTATCGTTGGGGAGATACATGATGCTGTAGCATTTCTTGAACAATGATATTTGTGAGACAATAATCATGGTTTGAAGTATCTTTTACTTTCGCAAGATGGATGTTAACGTGGGCATCATTAAAGTTAATTAACAATGATACAGTAGTACATTTGGACCCTTCGGAAGCAAAATCTTATCGTAGTATTTCAAAGATTAAACAACAGTAACGTCGATGCTGTTTTAGCTCAGTGTCGGTTGGGGTGAAATATAAACGAAATTAGTATAAAAAGAAATTTGATGAGTTATGAATATGTTAAAATGAAAAAACTTGCGCTTAAGAAAAATGAAAAAATTGTATGAAAAAACTTGCGCTTAAGCATTTTGTAGACCGAACTTTCGTACTTGGTCCATGCATGTAATTTGCTTTCTTATTGGTTCCTTAGCCATTTTATGCTTCTAATCAATTAAGCATGTAAACGCTACCTTATTTTTAGTTTGTAGAATAGATAAGTGATGTGGGTGCCTTAATTAGTTCTTTTGTATATATATATTATAAATAGAAATATACGAAGAAAGATAAGAAAAGAACAAAGTTCTAAATCTGCACTTATGGAAAAGTAAATGATTTCACAACATCCCTCTAATCGTACTTTGGTGATCTGCAGGTAAGGACGTCTTCAAGAAAACCTATGAGGATTACAAACTACCGGAAAGTAAATGGGAGATGGATGAGATCATGAAGTATCATTTGTGGGGAAATGAATGTGTTATGGGCAACGTATTGTACGTCTACGATGGCTATAACTATATTTTACGAACATGTGATCTCAAGCAAAGAACTTGGGGGATGGTGAAGGGCCTCGAAAATCTTCCCTTAGGTGATTATCTATCAAAACTAGTCTGTTGCGGTAATATGTTGATATTGTTTTTGAGAATCTTGGACCGTGATGATACCATTGTTTGGAAAAGGAAAATATGGTGTGTGGAGATTTCAGTGGAGAGGCGTGAAGGACAGATTTGGGGAAAGGTTGAGTGTTGCGATCTTTTGCTTGATGGCCATTTTGACATTACTAAATCTATTGTTGTTACTCTCTGATACTTCAAATATTTGAAACATTGCATTTACCTGAATACTATTTACTTTACCCATGAATTTTATTTTTGTTACCGTACTTCATACTTTTGGTTGTCCTCGATTAGAACCATAACCTTTTACAGTATTTTGTATTGGTCAACGTGCAATGATATAAAAATGAGATTATTCAATAGAATTAGAGAACCAAAACATTTGAGTAGCAGAAAACTGCAAGTGAATCTATATCAATAATGTTTACAAAAACACAAAAGTCTTGTTTCAAAGTATGGTACTTATCACCGGGAAGCGACCAAAGTGCTTACTTTGAAACTAACTGAGAGTAGGAGGATCCAGAAACACATGAAGATTAACATTGCCCTTGTTAAACTATTTCCTAATTTCCCGGACGCATTCTCTTGGACAAAATGGTAAGAAAGGATTAAGTCACGGTTCACGTTTTTGTCGTATGACCAGCCCATGTTGCTGTCTGATATTGTGATCATACCTGCGGTTACATGAACTGAGCCTGATGATTGTCCTGCGTTTAACCGGATAGCTGCATCCTTTGTAGGGAACTCAGAAGCAAATGCAGGCGGAGCGGGAATAGCTCCCAACATGTCGCTTGCCTTTTTGAGGAATGGGTACTTGTAATCTGCAGTATTAGCAATTGATCCATCATCTAAACAGAACAAGTGACGCACCTGTGAACATATGGAGGTAAGTTCTGATTATGGTCAATAGGGTTTTTACCTGGCTCAAACTCTGTTGCATCTGCATCAAATTGTTTTGAACAAGATGCTTCATCCTTTTCCTTTTCTTCCACCACTTGTTTGTCTCCTATGGTCTCTTCTTTTTTTAGTTCCTCAGTCTCGATCTGTTGGTTTAAATGTGAGTTAAATTCAAAAGGAAACAAAAATAAGTCTAAATACAGTTTAAGTCAAAAATAAGTCTAAGTCAAAAATAAGTCTAAGTCAAAAATAAGTCTGTTTGTATAAAGTTTTATACCTCTTGAAAGAGCTCTTCTTGATCAACAAAAGCATCTTCATTTCCCATCAGTTGAGAAGGATCGAAAGTCAAGTTTTGAGCATTCTCATCGTCCTCATCAAAGAAGGTAAGATAATCTTCAAAGTAGAAACCATCTTGCTGAGTACTGCTGAGATCATTTGTTTCAAGGTACAGACCATCATTATGCAGAAGATTACTATTCGGATCCAGAAACGCATCACCGATCAAGTAGTTGCTCTCAACAGACAAATCATTGTAGCATAATGAACCAGTCCCAAACATGTTGTCAGAAGATTGCAAATTTGCCATTTGCTCGTTTTGGACACCAGAGCCAATTTCATCATCTTGAAACAATGCCTCATTATGAAGGTTACCGTCACAGATAATAGGCTTCTGATCTTTCTCAGAACATTCTTCTGGTTTCTCAAAGTAGCCACCAGAGTCCACATAGTTTCCTGGTTGTATATAGTTTATGGAATCTGAGTAGTTTGTTTCAGCATTATTGCTTGATTCCCCATGATTAAAGTTTAACGGGAGAGGAATGGCATCATAGACCACAAGGTTGTCAGGCTTCTGCAAGATATAAATTCGATTTTAGAACTGGAAGAAGATAATAGTCAGCCTCGTAGGGAGTAGATAGCCTAGTAGGGAGTAGATAGCCTAGTAGGGAGTCTGATAAGATCAGTGATAATAAAGAGATATTTGCACAAGCTTTTTTACTCCACAGAGTGAAACATCCATGGATACAAAGGAAACAGCAATCAACCAAAAGCTAAACCATTTGTCATAAATTTACTGTATCACTAAAAAGGATCAAGATAAGCAATAGAATCTACACTAAAAGACAAACCTGATCAGTGTCATCCATATGGACATAAACATGATCTTCACTTCCAAGATCTGGATCAGGTTCGAATGACATATCATCCTCCTCCTCCCACTCTTCCTCAACAAACGGAGCACCATACTGCTCTCCATTTTTAGGTCCTGAGCCACTCTTCTGAAAAATCCTACAAAGCACATACGCATCCTTGCCACAATTCCAAAACAAAAGTCAGCAACAACACAATCCATTGCCTATATGAAAACAACTAGGCAACTCAAAGATTCCAAAGTCTTACTTGGTGAACACCGGTTTTCTCGAGTTCTTCATCAACCAGCCTATACTCGTGCATAACCCAATTGGTTCTTTCGCCACGAGGAGCTCGACCTTTGTGATAAACAAGAGTCTTCTTCATCCCGACGACCTTTGACCCATTACGAATCTCCCGATCTTTCCCAGTCGTCTTCCAATAACCCATCTCAGTCGCACGATTCGTCTTCGATCCATTACCATACTTGCTATCAAGCGTACTGAAGAAGTACCACTCCAAGTCTCTACTTTTCAGCTTCGCCTTGTCTAAATTCCCAATCAAACAAAACAAAATCAGCTTAAGTTTAAAAGCAGAACTCAAACGAAATAAATTGTTTCCAATAGAATTCGATAAATCAGAACTGACCTGGGAGATCCCAAGGCTCGGATTTGTAAACATGGGCAACAGAGATAGCATCAAACTTAAAGGGTTTATTGCAGATCTTTCGTTTGAGATAGTAACGAACAAGTTCTTCGTCCGTGGGATGAAACCGGAACCCAGGAGCGAGCGACGTCGCGGAACCACCACCCATATACCAAAAGCTCAAACACAAAGGTTGACTATATAAATTAAAGAGATGTTCTGTCGAATTGGAAACAAAAGAAAAGAGATTTGAAATGAAAGAGATTTAGAAATTGAGGTAAGTGAGATGAAAGGCAAGTCGGAGAAGACGAGTGATGAGGAAGAAGAAGGAGCTCGGAACCAATCGGAGCTAAATTAAGCGACCAGTGGTAACGATTTATAAGTGCAGAAGAAGTTTCACGCCGTGTGAGAGATTTTTATAAATCTTTCCAGGAAACTGTTCTCGGAGAACAATCAAGTCACTGGCTGTGACTCTTTCGTAGGTGACTGTCTTTATTAAAATGACACGTGAAAGTTTTGGACGAGTCATCATAGGTTTTTAAAGTCTCTAGAATTTTGTTGAGGTAGTTGGTTCGCGCAAATAATATAAATATAGTACGAATTATCCACTTCAATAAATATCAATTATCGATGACTAAAAGTATTTGAAAAATCTTGGTTTGAATTTAGAGTAAATAAAGAAAGTGTAAACTTTTGTGTTGAAAATGGGAAACAAACAAAGGGTTAAAGAAGTCGGACGTACCAAACCCCTTTTTGCTTTTATTTTAAAAATAATTTGCAAATTACGTGTAACGAAAGTCTACTGCTAACGCCGGTGACGCAACCACATTCGTAGTCATAGCTGGATTAGTTTAATGACAGTTATACCCTCACTCTTGATCACTAATCACGGTATTACCAGGGGGACGGAACATTGAAAGATCTTGTCCGGAAATCTAGACGGTAATAATATATATGTAAATGACAGTTATACCCTTCAACCTGACAGTTATATCCTATGAAGACAGAATATTCTTGATTGAGAGAGAGAGAGACAGAGAGAGTTTCTTTGTCTGAAAAAAAAACAACTAGATAGATGATCATATATGACAACGGAGCAACCTAAAAATGTATGCAGCAACATCATATTTAAAATAAAAAGAAGGATAAAACACATTCGTCTCAGGAGCTCGGATCCGTTTTATCCTATGTTACAACAGAGAGATTCACGCAGTTCGCAATCCGTCTAAGAGAAGTTACATAGATGGGCTCATAATATTAGGGAGATTAAAGCTAATAGGTAAGCAGCTGAAGAAGAAACCTGGACGGATCTTTTAGAGAATTTATTGTCCACTGGCATGGTTTTTCTTAAGTTCCTCGTTCTCCTGACGCAGCGCATCAATCCTTGACTGGAGAATACTGATCATAGCTTCTGCACTCATCATTTCAAGCTTGAATGTTTCTCTTTCAACAGACATCTGGTGAACCTCTTTCTGGAGATCATTAACCTTCTCGTCAGGAGATGCTTGTGGAGTATGGGGAGAAGGTTCCTTGTGAGGACGCAGAGCTTGCTGCGGGTTTTCTTTCTTGTCAGAGATGCCCATGAGTGAGAACTCAAGCAATGCAGAGATGGCAGTGTTGGTGGCAGCAGCAGATGATGAGATTAAAGTGGTTGTATTGTCGACGGTTGTTGTGGACGAACAATGGTCCTGTGTGTTCCTGCTTGAGTTGTTGTTCGACTCATTTTGGCGTCTACGTTTGTATTGCAGCAGAGGTAATGGAGCTTCTTTGTTGAGAACGCATACAGGAGGAGGACGCTCACCTTCTTCTGTCTGCTCGCGTTTAAGTGTTTCCTCATCTTCCTCATAGGCATTATTGTTGTTATGCTCATGCGGCTTGATGTCACTCTCATGATTGTTCTGTTGGTTAGGTTCAATATCCATTGCAACCGTCTCTCTCGGTGGCTCATTGATGTTAATGAGACTCTTGCTGGCTGACTGAATCTCCTACAATACATTACAAGGTTATGTGAACTCCATACGACACAAAAATCTGAAACCAAATGCTTTAATCTCCTATAATTAAGTGAACACAACAACTCATTCTACTTCTATCGAACATTATTACTGATTAATGAAGTAAAATCATATGATATAGCACAGTGACAGGTGCTGTCAAGTGAGGATGTAAGTTTCAAAGATCTTGTAATCAGCATGATTAAGAAAATAAGAATAAAAGCCCAAGGGAAAGAAAAAAAGGCACACAGAAAATTTAGATATTTTCTCAATCAAGAGAGTTGATTCATCAGATAAACCTACACGGCAGAGGTCTACAAGAGTTGGTTACAGACTCGATGAGGTAACCCATCCCACTGAACCAGTACTTAGAGGTACTTCACTTTAACACAGTTTTTGCATATATGAAAATATGATATCTTGTGAAACAAGAGAGATGATGCATCAGGCAAATTTGACATTTGCACTAAACAACATTGAAATAGTAGATTGATTGATAAATAGACTAATCCAGTTCAAATAAACTCACTCAGCCCAATGGAACACCACTAAAGAGAGACTTTCAACACAGTTTTTGCATATAAGTGATATTAAATTGAAACTTCAGGCTTTGAGTATGAAGCCTGAATATGAAGAAATTACAAACCTGGTCCATCTGGTTGTTTCCATTGGCCACTGGCTGCGGCTCTACCCTGAGCCTAACGTCTACTCCTGGGATCAGAGCTCCTACATCATCAGCCCATTCCTCTTCCATGAACGGTGCATACCTGTTCCCACTTGGTGGCCCAATGTTATTCTTGTGGAAGACTCTGCATAACACATATGCATCTTGCTGCACCCAAACAAAGAATTGAGATAAGAAAATATCAAAGTAACCCAGTTCGAAAGTAATTTGGAGAATACAGTACCACCAGGTTTCCGTTTTTCTCGGTTTCATATTCCACAAGGCGATACTCGTGCATGACCCAATTAGTCCGAAGACCGTCAGGGGCACGCCCGCTGTGGAAAACAAGCGTCTTTTTCATACCAAGCAGCTGAATATCACGGCGGATTTCTCTGTCTTTCCCAGTTGCTTTCCAGTACCCTTTGTTAGTTGCTCGGTTCATTCTAGCACCATTTCCATACTTCTTATCTAACGCGCTGTAGAAGTACCATTCTTGGTCCCTTGTCTTCAACCTCGAAAACACTTAACACACGACCAAAAAAAAGAAGAAATTACTTACCAGACTTAACTCAAAACTTCAAAATTGTACATTTCCTGAAACACAAGCAAACTGGAACATAAAACTCTTAAGGGATCTGTAAAAATGGAGGAATAATATTTGAGCGACCCAAGAAATCGATAAGCTGGATTGAATGAATTCACAGTGTTATAAGCCTAAACATAGCAAAATGTAAACAACAGAGAATCTGCAACAAAAAATTCCCAGAAAAAAGGCTTAACCCTTTTCCAAGAAATGAGTCGGAACACGCGAGAGAAGCCCAGACCAGGAAAAAATCCCAAATCAGAAGCAACAAAATCACAAGTGTCAGATAAAACCCCAAAATTGACGAAAAGAAGAGAGAGAGCCAAACGAACCAGCTAAATCCCAGGGCTCATGCTTGTAGATATCGACCTCGCCAATCGCATCGAAGCGTACAGGTTTGGCCAGAACCTTTCGCTTCAAGTAATAACTGACGAGTTCCTCATCGGTGGGATGAAATCGGAAGCCAGGAGCAAGGGAGGTAGCCGCCGCAGCAGTACCCGGAGCAGTCCCCGAGGGCGGCGCAGTCACCACAGCCACAGATTCGCGACCCATGAAAAAGAGAGTAGTTGTTCTAGGGTTATTCTCAATTCCACTTTCCCCTGACGAGCAGCAAAACAACAAGTTGGCAAAATGGGTTTTTGATTAGACGGACAAGTAATGAAAAAGAGATAAGCATAAGGATTAAAGGTACCTTCAATTGCAAGAAATTTGCTTTCTTTTTTCCCGTTCCCAGTAGAAGCAAACCAAGTTATTATTTCGGATTGCGATTCCAATTTTGTTTACATTTCCTTTTTTCTCATTTCTTTATTTTCTTTTTTCTTTGGAGTGTCGCAGTAATAAAAACCCTAGAAAATGTTTACTGCCTAGGTTTTTGTCGTTTTATGTAGTAAATTAAAAAAATACACTGTCGTAGTCGTTCAAAAAAGTAGGTTATTTTTTCTTACAGCTCTTGGATAAATAAAGATTTAATAAAATTAAATAAAAAAAGAAAAAAAGAACAAACCTATCCAAGAGTACAATCATTTAACAAGGGTCACACAAGCTCATAAATGATAGGCGAATACTAATAATAAATTCTTGAAAGAGTTTAAGCATAGATAGATTCCGAATAATAGAACGATACAGTTCAAAAAAACACCCAACTTTATAACACCTTACTAAATTCCAATATTCCATTTATCTAGATACGAAACCATTTCGACAATACGTCTTACGTAGAAAGCTCTCGACATTAAAAATATACTAACAAATTAAGACAATTATATATATGTTGTTAAACTTACACAATCTATAGCTTGTAGATGAAGCTTTTAGTTAGATACACCAAATAAAAAGACCACACATTGTTGTGGTTGATTTTTTATTCGTTGATTATAATTCTGGCTCTGCTGCAAATCAGACAAGTTCCGGTCTTAAATCATTGTTGCCTCCGTCACGAGTCACGACCAAGTAAAGACGGTCATGCCAAATAGTGGTCGACTTCTTGGGCACCGAGAGTATTGAAGAACTAATGAGGGTGTTCTCCTTAATCCAACCACAGAGTTATCGAATCGAATCTAAAGAAAGAACTAAGCAAGGATAGTATGGAAATTAGAGTTTTGGGAAAAGAAAAATGGGAGTATAAGCAGCAAATCGGAGGAGAAGAGAGGAGGCGACGAATTCTCCGGAACTAATAAGCCACCGTGGAAAATATTAGTATAAGTGAAATGTTACTGCGGCAGTACTGACTAATGTTTTAAACATCTCGTCCACAGGGAAGTGTGCTCTGTATATATTACTAATATACTAGTGACGCTGCTCTGATATTTTGGGATGACAGCAAATGAATCAGCGACACGTCGAAAGTTTGGTCCTCTAGTTCAATAACTTGTCGAGGTAGCTCGTTGGCCCAAATTTATATATGTTTTTACAACTTTTTATTTTGTCGGTAACAACTATAAATTCGTTTCGTGATGTTTTTATCTTTTTTTTATCTTTTTTTCGTGTCGTTTCGTGATGTTAAGTTTGCAGAAGGAAGTTTCTGAAATTATTTTGACTAAACAAAATGTGAAAATAGGTTTATTTATTTGAAAATGGAGTCCAGGCTTGATGAATTGTACCAAGCGCTTTTTGCTTTTTTTTTTTTTTTTTTTTTTTTAAACAAAATAATTGCAAATTACGTGTAACAAAAGTCTTCTAACGTCGTTGACGGAGCCACATTCATAAATCGTAATGCTAGCCGAATTGTCCAATGACTATTATACCCTCGCGCATTACCCTTAGTTTGCCTGTGAAGCTCTCTTCCCACTTCTCTCAATGGTTCATGGAGACAGAACATTACTAAGCAACAGAGTGGTTCTTGTCCGGAAGATCAGAAGGTGAACTCAGGTTTATGCCCTCAAACTTGACTACTAAAAATGATAACAGTTTTATCCAAAAGAAAAAGCTTTCTTCCATAGAGACTGAACATTCCTTGATAGTTGATACTAATAAAGAGAGTTCTTGTCTGAAAAGACTAGATAGATTGATAGATGATAATATATGGCAATGGATAAACCTGAAAGTGTTCCCAAAAGATGCAGAACATAGAATAAAATAAAAAAGGATAAGTAAAGACCCGTTCCGTTTTATCCTAATTTTACAACAGAGATTCATACGTTTACTGAAGAAGCTACATCCATAGCTCATACTACTACGAAGATTACAACTAAAAGGCGTTGAGAAAAAGAAGAAGAACCCTGGATGGATGGTGAGGTGGTTTAAATAGCTTGTCCGTTGGCGTTTTTCTTCTTAAGTTCCTCGTTTTCCTGACGCAGTGCATCGATCCTTGACTGGAGAATACTGATCATAGCCTCTGCACTCATCATCTCAAGCTTAAAAGTTTCTCTCTCAACAGACATCTGGTGAATCTCCTTCTGGAGATCATTAACCTTCTCTTCAGGAGATACTAGTGGAGTAGAGGGAGAAGCTTCCTTGTGAGGACGCAGCTGTTGGTTTTCTTTCTTTTCTGAGATGCCCATAAGCGAGAACTCAAGCAATGCTGATATGGCAGTGTTTGTGGCGGCAGCAGATGATGAGTTTAAGGTGGTTGTATTGTCGACGGTTGTTATTGTGGACGAACAATGGTCCTGTGAGTTCCTGCTTGAGCTGTTGGACTCGTTTTGGCGTCTACGTTTGTATTGGAGGAGAGGTAGTGGAGCTTCTTTGTTAAGAATGCATAGTGGAGGAGGACGCTCATCTTCTTCTGCGTGCTCTCGTTTCAGTGTTTCCTCATCTTCATCATAAGCATTATGGTTGTTATGCTCCTGCGGCTTGATGTCACTCTCATGATGATTCTGTTGGTTAGGTTCGATATCCATTGGAGTGCCATCCCTTGGTGGCTCGTTGATGTTAATGAGATTCTTGCTTGCTGAATGGATTTCCTACAAAATAATGACAAGTTATGTGAACCCCAACAGACATAATATATCTAAAACCAAAATATGTTGAATCGACTTTGCAGATGAACCAAACTACAATAAACCCATCTCTCGTTAATTCTTCTGACAATGATGCACTGATCATTTTTGTGAGTTCATATAATGCAAAACGAGAATTGTAACTCTAAATATCTTGTAATGAGAGGATAAATCCCAAAGAAAAAAAGACCGTAAAGAAAACTAGATATCCTGTAATCAAGAGAGACCATTCATTAGACAAAGCTGCAGTTCAAGTAACTCATCCCACTGAAACAGCACTAAGAGAAGTTTTCTATCAACAAATAACTTTTGCATATAAGAAGCATGATATCTTGTAAACTATGAGATATGATTTACTCTGCAGGAATTCAGAATTTTTGCATAGAAGAAACACTGAAATGGAACTATTGAACTTCTGAGTTATGAAGCCTTAGTATAAAGAAAGCACAAACCTGGTCCATGTGTTTGTTTCCATTGGCTTGTGGTAGCGGCTCTACCCTGACACTAACGTCTACTCCTGGAATCAGAGCTCCTCCACCATCAGCCCATTCCTCTTCCATGAATGGCGCATATCTGTTCCCACTTGGTGGCCCAATGTTATTCTTGTGAAACACTCTGCACAACACATATGCGTCCTGCTGTATCAAAACAAAGAATTGAGATAAGATAGGATTCTTTTGACAGTATGAGATAAAACAAAATCCGAAAGTAACTCTTTTGAACAACATAATACCAGCAGGCTTCCGTTGTTTTCAGTTTCATATTCCACAAGGCGATACTCGTGCATGACCCAATTAGTCCGAAGACCGTCTGGAGCACGCCCGCTGTGGAAAACAAGCGTCTTTTTCATACCGAGCAACTGAATATCCCGGCGGATTTCTCTGTCTTTTCCAGTTGCTTTCCAGTAGCCTTTGTTAGTTGCCCGGTTCATTCTAGCACCATTGCCATACTTCTTATCTAAAGCGCTGAAGAAGTACCATTCTTGGTCCCGAGTTTTCAACCGTGAAAACACTGAAACACACACACATCACAACAGAAGAAATTTTCAAACCAGAGTTAATAACACTTTAGATAACCAACAAACTTCATTTCCTGAAACACAAGCAAATAGAACTCAAGCACAAGATAGCAGGATTCTTAAGGAATCTGAAAAAAAAAAAAAAAGAATTAGACTTTCCCCAATTAAAGAGTCGATTGGATGTATTGTCTTCACAGTGTACATAGCAAAAGGTACGAACAGAGAATAGGCGACCAAAAAATTTGCCCAGAAAATGAATCGATGCCCACAAAGCTCAAAACTTTCTTACCCCCAGAACTGAGTCTAGAAGACGAAACAACGAATAAGCCCAGACTCACAAAAATCCCAAATCAGAAGCAACAAATTCACAAGTCTTCACAGGGGAAAAAAAAAACAAATCACAGAGAGAAGCAGAAACAAAGAGGAAGAAACCCAACGAACCTGCTAAATCCCAGGGCTCATGCTTGTAGATGTCGACCTCCCCAATCGCATCGAAACGTACAGGTTTGCCTAGAACCTTCCGCTTCAAGTAATAACTCACGAGTTCCTCATCAGTGGGATGAAATCGGAAGCCAGGAGCAAGCGAGGTCGCCGACACAGCAGTACTCGGCGCAGTCGCCGATGGCGGCGAGGACACAACAGCCACAGATTCGCGACCCATTTGAAGCAAGAAAAAAGGACCGTACTTGTAATAGGGTTTCTTCTGGAATCTGTCTCACAAGACAAACATCAAAGTAATAAAGTTGGGAAAAATGGGAATTTTAATTTGACGGAGAAGAAATGGAAAAAAAGAAGAACACGGATTAAAGGTACCTTCAATTGCAAGAAATTTGCTTTCTTTTAGAGTTCCTAGAAGGCTAGAAAACAAGTAATTTCGGATTGCGATTCCGATTTCTTTTTTATTCTTTTTTTTTATTATTAATTTTATAATTTTTGAGTGTTGCAGTAATAATAATAAAACCCTAGGAAACGTTACTGCTTAGGTTTTTGTCGTTTTATGCAGTAAAATAAAAGGAAACACTGTCCTAGTGGTCTGAAAAAGTAACTATTTTTCTTAAATAAAAATTTCAGTTTTTCTTAATATTATACGTAATGACTTTCCTGAAACAGTCTAACCATATGTAATATTGATTATACAAGAATGAAATAATATTATGTTAAAACTATATATCAAGAAAGATATTGAACGAAAATCAAAGATTGGGTATGTGATTTTAATAAATCTTTCTAAAATGTTTAAGTATTTTTTCACTAATAGAAAAGAGTTTATTTCTTTCCTTTTATATTAAGTGCATTGTATATATATATCTCTATTTTATATTTCATAAAAATACTGCAGTTCAAAATATTTACAAACTTTACTTGTAAATATAAAAATAGTAAAATACTAATCTTGTTGGGAAAATAAGAATAATATAAATAAAAATCTAAGGAAAAATGTGTAAAAGTTTATAAGAAGTTGACCAAAAAAAAAAGAGAGTTAATGAGAAAAAAAAATGTTGGAAGGTGAAAATAAAAATAAAAAAGGAGTGACAGATACGTTTGCTTGCAGAAGGATACTTTACCAATAAGGCAAGCTAAAGAGGGATGAGAGAGAGAGACTTGGTCCACACGAATCATCATCTTCTTCCCCCATTCATTTTTCTCTTATTTATTTTTCTTCTTTCCTCTTTCATTTTCTAATTCTTATACTTTGGTTTTCGTTTAAAAGTAATTTCAATCTTATATATAATAAAACTAACAACGATTACAATTTGTAGGGGTTGTGTTGTATAGTCAAGGTGGCAAAGACAAAAGATATCTACTTTTCTTCTCTGTTTTTTTTCATCTTCTGGAAAATGGAATAAGCCTATTTCATTCAGTGCACAGTGATGATCTACGTACATGTTAAATAAAATTCTATATTTTGTCAACAACAACATTTAGATAATGAAATTCTAAAATAGTTATGGCAATGAATTGATGAGGCGTACCAAAAACTATATGATATTTTTTTTGTTTGCATTGTATTATACAATTTGTATATATATGTTTTGATACGCCACGTCTCTTGTCTATTCCTATGCTTTGTTTGTGTTAACTACTAATCCGAAGTCAGAATTTAAATCGAAAAATATCCTCTTTTTTTTCGTTTTTTATAAATAATAATATCATGGAACTAATAAGAAAAAAGTAAAAAGTAAAAAGAGAAGCACCATTTTGTTATTTATTTATTTTTTAGGCTGTCAGCTATCTGACACCACTGTCTCCCCAAAAGGACAAAATGCTAAAAATATCAAGACCCATTTTTTTCTATGCTCATAACAAACAAAAGAAGAAAAAAAACGAGTTGAGCCTCGTGTTTAGTGTTCTGGGCTTAAACATATATTAAAAGCCCATAATCAATTTGTAGCCCACTCCGACGACGAAGGCTGTGCAATTTCTTTAAACACAATCTTGACGAGTGTTATGCTTTGCAATTCCGGTACAAATTTAAATATCTCAGCGTCCGCTTTTGTTGACGGTTAACAAAGTTCATATATATATATATATATATATTCAATTATTCATCATATAGGCCACATTTATGTGTGTGTGTGTTTAAGTAATGTTGATTTACACAGGATCGGCTTTGAGTCATTGATAAACAAAAGAGCTATAGTTTTAGTGTAAGCATGAATAACGAGTACGTAATCTGTTTCAAATGCAAATTTAACCCCAAAAAAAAAAAAGAGTTGGACAGGTCACGCCCTTTTCATGAACTTTTCATTTTCTTTTGTTTCTTAAAGTGTTTGAACCTTTTTTTTTTCTAATCCAAAATATACATTCTTTATCTAGAAAGTATACATGAACGTGACATAAGTTTAAAGAAAACTATTTTAATCGATCAACCGAAGTTAATAGCATAGAGAAATCAAAATGTATTTTTAGTTGATTCATTTAAATATAAAGTAAGAATGTGGTATTTAATCACTTTTTGATTTCTAGTTGATTCATTTAAATATAAAGTAAGAATGTGGTATTTAATCACTACGATTCGTCGTTCGCTGTACTGGAATTGGAACAAGTAATGGAGGGTATGATTAATGTATTTATTATTTATATTGTGTAACAAGAATATCTTACATTAATTTGGATTTAATTACATAGCATCTATGGGAGTATTGTATAATACATAGTTTTCTTTGGAAAATATGTAAGAAAGGGGGAAAAAAAAGAGAGAAGAATCTTGCAAGTCTTGTACAAGCAAGGAATCAGTAATTTTCTTTTAAAAAACGATTCATCAATTTCTTGCTTAATTAAAAAATAAATTAATAAATGAATCTTGGGTATTGAATTTTTTTCTTTGATTTCAGTAATGGCAGTCCACCAAAGTAGGAGCAGAAGACAAGACAATAGACTTTTGTTCTTCTCTCTGTTGATTCTGTTGTGTTTGTTCATGTTCATGTTCTTGTTCTTGCTTTGAAGCTAAGCTTAATCCACCGTTGACCCTATTCTCATCTTCCGGGGCAGGTAGATTCAGATCTAAATCTAACGACACAACCGCACTCCTCGCTCTCTTAACCGGAACCTGAACCGGACCTTCCGACATCTTATCAAACGACATAGGCGACAGTGACAAAGCCGTGTTTGCAGTAACTGGAGTTGCCGCAACCGCTAGGGTGGCCGTAGAGGCAGCTGCTGTGGCCACCACTGCACCTCTATGTCGCCTCATATGACCACCTAATGCTTGTCCGGACGTGAATTCGGCTCCACATATTCCACATTCATGGACCTTATTACTATTATTAGCTTTACCGTATACCACAAGCGATCTATGGTTACTATTGCTGTTAGGAGCTGTGGTGACAACGTTGTTGAGATGAAGGGAAACGGGGTCATCGTAGATAGACTTCTTGAGGTCATGACTGGAGTGAAGGCCCGTGGCGGCTTTAGGCTTCTTGTGGCTGGCCCTATGGCCGCCGAGAGCTTGGAATGACGGAAAAGTACGGTCACATGTTTTGCACTGGTAAACATAGTAGCCGGCTCTGCCTCCACCGTTCGATGGAGATGTCTCCAGAAACCTCCTGCTGCTAGATCTATACGCATTGTTGTTGTTACCAGATTCTTGGTAACTTATCATAAGCTGTCTTGTTTGTTGTTGAAGGTGAGGTTGCGGTTGGTGCTGGGGAAGAGAGTGGCCTTGGGCGAGGAGGATCAAACAATTAGCCATATCTTGATCTTCCTCGTCAACAGTGGCCTTTAATGTGGCATTGTTGTTGGAAGATGAAGAGGCTGAAGATGAAGATGTAACACCATTGATCAAAGTATTGTTATCATTCTTAATGTTGTTATTGTTGTTGTTGCTCTCATCATTGAGATTCTGCTCCTTGGAAACAAGACTAGTGGATTCTTCTTCAGCATCTGGTTCTTGTGAAGACATAGGAGGGATGATAGAGAAAGGGATTGGGGACTGCGGGCGTTGCCGCTTAGTCCGTTTCCCTTTAAGGATCAATGATTGCTCCTTAGCGGCTGATACAGCCTCCGCAGCTGCTTCCATTGGCTATATAGAGATAGATATGTTCAAGAAGAAAGGGACCTAGGTATTGGAATTGATCAATGAGAAAAATGAATTAGAGAAAAATTGAAACTGAAGATGGATATGATCATCAGCCTTAAGGAAGGATTACATATATATAAATAAATATGTATGTGTGTGTGTTAAGAGAGATGTACGTGTGTGGATTGAAAAGAGGCATACATAAATAGAGAGTGATTTAGGGAGAGGAGTCAAAGAGAGACACCACATTCTCTAAGTGTGTGGAATATGTTGGACTTGTCTTTTTGCAACCTCTTAAATTTTAGTACTTCTGTTATTGTCTCTATTACAATCTTCCCAACTTGGCAAACTCATCACAATACACAAGAGCTAGAGAGAGGAGAGAGAGGCAGAAAACATAACCAAAAAAATGTGTAAATTTAGAAAATTACTTGAGTGATGTATGTTTTGTCTCTTCATTATCCTTTTTATTTTTACTCTGTATAACAACTTATTTTTGGATTAGTTCCGTTTAACTAAAGAAGGACATGTTTTATTTGTTTATTAATAACTTCATGTGGTTGATCCGGATCTAACCTCTAGCTCAATACTACTTGACATTGAAATTTGACATTATAGTAAATAAAATATAAAGATCGAAGTCTAACTAGCTAGATTTATCCCTAAAATTAGTTCATGTAACAGTTGTAAAATACGAAAATTACTTTGAATCTTGTTATGTGAAGAAAATATTAATGATAAAATAATCAAAAGATAAGAAAAACAGAAAAACAGAAGAAGAAGAAATTGAAGTAGAGAGGTTAAGAGATAACTTTGGGTGAACGAATGTGTAAAGTAAAATAAGGTCATGAGAGTGCAAGCCTGGCTCTCACGGAATCTACGGCTCCCTCCAGCCTTCGTCTCTCCTCTCTCTACCATTACTCCCACTCCATCTTCCTTTTTTTTTTTTAATGTTATTATTAGTGTTTTGCCATCTATATGTTATTATTTCTAATACTACGCATACGTAGCATCTCTACGTACATACATGTTAGTTAAAAATACACACACTATTCTAATTATTTTCTGAAATAAAGAAATCAATTTGTCGTAAGAGTACGACGACGACGTATTCCCTATCGACTTGAGACAATAATTTGGGTAATATCCATAGATAATGACAAAGTCTATTGAAATGTAAATTTATGAATTCTTTTTAAATTTGGTAATTGTGCTAGAACTGAGTGCAAGTAAAGTTGATAATGTTTATAGTCTTGTGTAGTTGTAGATTGATGGCTTTGTTACAATTTCAAGAAACATATATGCACTAGATGCACATTCGCATTGCATGTATTATCATTTATCAACTAGTATTACGTACAATTAATGTTTTGTCTAGGAAAACTGTAAACTCAAAGTCTGCTTTATTACAGTTTCAAATATAATTATATAACACATGAGTCTGCTTTATTACAGTGTCAAATATAATTATATTACACATGTTGGCGTGTGTACGCATTATGAAGTATATGCCAATTCGTTCGTTCATGTTTGCATGATGTGAAGAGCACCCACACTTCAAGTAAAGAATATTACTAAGTAACGACGAATCAGCAAGTGCAGCTCATCGTATCTCCAAGACTTTTCAGATTATCAATCGATATACTAAAATGTAGTACAATCTGGTAACTGAGTTTTTTTATATATAAAAGAAGATAATAATTAATTTCGGGCCAATAAACTATAAAGAAAACAGTTATAGTTTAATTTTGGTGCTACGTTTCTTGTAAACAATTAAATATAAGTTTGATCAGTTACATTTTTACAGGTTGATTAACTTTACCTTTAAAAGGCTTTAATGTAACTATAAGATGAATGTGAGTACGTACTGGATAATAATTTAAAACAAAATACGCATTTTAGTCAATTTAATTAGTATTCTTGGTTGATAAGTACCCTACTGACATGTTCACACACATACATAGACACGGCCATTATCATTTTATTTATATATAGGTGAGTTAATTTTATATAAAGTCTACTCTCCATTGTTGGATGTAGCTAATAATTAGCATAAAAAAATGATAGTGACTATTATTGCTTAATGCCAATGATTAGGGAATAGTCGACTGGATAACATGGATTGCATGTACTTAAACCATATTGTAATATATATACAAATAGACATTAGTACATACTTTCAGTATTATATATAGATAAGTAAGTTTTGGAAAAAAGAGATCTTAAAATATATATTGACTTACACTTGAAGTCGTTTTTCAGATAACATATAAGGAAGGTGATGGCAAAACTAATCAATCGAAATCTATAAGAAGAAAAAAAAACTGAACAGCATGCAGTAATATTTCAACATCTTTTTGTCAGATGTCATTGTATATATGTATCTTGAATTGGATGTTTTAGTTTATATCTGACTCTGTACCTTTTCAGTTTTCATTGTCTTTCTGTAACATTATTTACTAAATTAGTAGATCCATTGTTCACGTCCACACACAAAACTTATAAACAATCATTTTGGTTATCAGAAAAGTCAGATATGTTAGTAGTAGTCTTATTTACTAACCGTTGTAGTGTTTCTGGATATTTCAAATACTGTATTAATTGCAGATTTGAATAAAATAACAAAATTAGGTAAAGCAAAGAAGTAGCACAAAAGCGGTGTCATTAGAGAGGATAATGGGAAAGTTAAGGAGAACAAGTCGGTTGTATATAAGTTCCCTTTATATAAGAAAGAAAGCTTTTCAATTATTGAGTGAGTGAGTGGTTCTTGATCATCTCGTGTATATATATATGCCTCCATTGTCGCACGTTTTCATAGATATAGAGAAATCAAAGAGAATATATATATATAGGTTAATACAAAAGAAAAAAAGTTAAAAGTAAACAGATAAAAACTGAGAGAGTATCCCTGATCATTTTTTAACCAATTATGGTTCGAGTTGAAGGGAATATATTGCTTTCTTATTTTTCGTTGACATCTTAATTAGATAGTTAAATTATGAGCTGAAAATAACAATTTGTTTAGCAACGCAAAGCATGTCTTCTTTCATAAGACAAGACATCTCGGACAGAGGGAAAGACTTAAGGGAAACTCAAGCATATGCATGTTACTAGGCAAATTAAAGACAAGTCTTGATCGGCAATGCATGATGCTGATGAACTGAAGCAAGCAAGCATATTATATTAATACCGCTAGTTATGTTTTGTTTCAAGCAAAGACTATATATTGAGAGATAGTACCGAATAAAAAAATTAACAGAAAAGGGCTATTTTAACCATATACGACCCAATTCATTTGAACGCTCATGCTAGCCACATGCCCCGCGACCGCGAGACCAACAAATTAACGCACAATCAAAAATTAAGTAAAACTTACTTTCCCACAAAGGATGGCATTTGTTATAATCCAAATACAATGCATAGCACCAGGAGAACATCGACCGAAGAACACATTTACAAAGATTATACTTTGGTTTTGGATGTAGATGCAAATATTGTCCATTTGACCAACCTACCATTTGTCTATTCAGATGTTGCCTATATACATTTTTGGAAGAAAATTAATGATTAGGCGTCTAAGATATCAATGTACATCTTCCCTCTAGTCAAAGACGACATATTACAACAAGTATGCGTAGATAATTAATACTAGCAATTACATTACAAGAAAAATACATAATTAGTTTCAATAGGAATCAGTATTACCACAAGTATAAAAAAAAATGGAAACCCAAAAATAAGATTAGAATTTACCATTCCAACTATACCTGAAATGGTAAGGCTCATGACCATCCACAGATTCATAAATGCCTTTTTCCTTGGCAGACCACCTGACCCAGCCCCTAGAAAAAGACTTAGCATCGTAGGCGACGATGATCACATGATCCTTGAAATTACGACCTCTCCATAGATGACACCAGTAGAGGGTCGAGCCGAATATGTTTTCTTTGAAGGACCAAGTGTAGTTACCCCCGGAGCGTCTCACGTGGTAACCGAGCTTGTCGTCTTTTGATCTGCAACGTATTTTTAACAAGTGTCCTCGCCGCATGTTGTTGTATATAACCACCGTTCCTCTTCCTCTTCCTATTCCTATTACATCTTCCGTGTACAAGCTCAATAGAACCATCACCATCAGATGTATTGACGCACGATACTTCATTTTTTTTATTAGTTTTCCTTTTCTCGTCTTAATTCTTACGTTTTCTTTTTCTTTCTCAAAAGTAACTGATGATACCTTTTGAAGGATTTATAAATGTTTTGATTTTTTGAGTAAATTGTTGTTTAAAAGGCTGCGCGTAAAAATCTGTCTTTTTTCCTATTTTATGTGTGTAGAACATTTACCTGAAACATAAAAAAAATTAAGGTCTACACACTGATTGGTACAAAATTGTGAATCCAAATCATGGATTATATTAATTATTTCAGATTCATTAATGATGCAACCAAACCACACACAACTGAATCAAATCCCAAAATTCGAAAATAAAAATAAAAATTACTAAAACGAAAACTAGATAAAAGAAAGCAAAAACAAGGAAGAGACTAACAAGACGCTTATAAGAGAGATAAAACATAAACCAAACGAGGAAGAGTTAGAGGAGTTTAATGGAACATCCCAACCATACTGAAACGCAGGCTGAAGGTGACGTACCGAAAGATAGATTCCGTCTTCTCTAGCTTCCCATACGTTTTCATCGTAAACATCTATAACTTGGTGATGCTTGAAATTATCCCCTTGCCATAGGTGACACCAAAAGACCTCGTAGTCATGGAATTTGTAACGCAAATTGTACGATCCTGTGGGATGCACCCTATGGTATCCCATATCTTGGTCTGTGGATTTGCAATGGACTATTAGATCGTTATTCTCACGCAGTACGTTTCTGATCCACACAGAGCCCGTGTAGGATAAGGCTGTGTTACTCATCATGGTAAGGCCAAAGGCCAGAACATAGAGGAGAAACCGTACAAGTTTCATTGCTATCGTTGAGTTGAGTTTTGTAGTGATTTTTTGTTTTTTTCGTCTGTTTTTGAAACGAAGATTTCGAGATTATCTCTTTCTGAGAGGTGTTTTGTTTTATAATCATTTTTTTCAAGTATATATAACTTATTTTAGTCTTTAGATATGTAAGAATTTGTAAAAAAGATATACATTAAAATTAGGGTTTGATGAATATATATAGAGATCTGATTTTTTTAATAATGTTAATAATGTGGATAATTCCACTTGACAGATACTCCGGTTGATGGATCAAGCAACCGGATCCCACGGAAACGCAACAGATTCGTTTCATTGCAAGTCAGCAAACATTTCATAGTCCATGAGGCTAAACCGGAAACATAACAACGGGAAAGACACGGTTTTCTCAAGCATCACCCGGTTCAGTGTTTGTCAAATATTTGGATTGGATATGATAATATATAATCAAAATTATAAGTAAATAAATCATTTGATTTTGGTTTGACGAAAATAAAAGATCTTACACCCCCAACCAAATATTACTCACTGTGACTCCTATCATCCTCAACATGTTTAAGCTTACTTGATCAGTTTCACACAAAAGTTAAGCCATCACTATTGGTATATAGTCCGGTACTTAGGTAAACCGCTACTATTCCTTGATTCACATCGCACAAGTTTAGTTTGATAAAACTACACATGATTCCCGGTTTACATAAACCAGACTATATATATACCAATATTATTTTGCGGTTTCATTTCAAAAATACACATGATTCCCGGTTTACATAAACCAGACTATATATATACCAATATTATTTTGCGATTTCATTTCATATATATATATATATATATATATAACTATATAGGAATTTCATAAACCGAAATTAGAAGAAATTAAGCATATGTAGATAAGATTCATTATGTTGTCAATTCATCACACACACACACAAAAAGGCAACACAAATATTTTGATAAGATGAAATTTGAAGATGGCCTCTAAAACATCAAGATTTAATCCATTGATACTCGAGTGTTTCCGGTTTACCATTTTTTGACAAGTAAATAGCATCATCTCTTGCAACCCATGTGTACAACGCGCCACATCTATAAATTGCAGCTCCTAGATATGCTACAATCGTCCTTTGGTACGCTCCCTTGTATAAGTTGCACGTGAAACTCGTCCCGGTGAAAACACTATCATGAAAACTAAAATTGTATGTAGGACCTTCAAAATTCAGAAAATGATCGCCTAAATCGTCATCTTTAGACCAGCAATGAACTTTTAGAACACTATGACTTTGGGAAAGACTGTTTCGGAAAGCTACAGTGTTTTTATGACACTTAGCTTCATTAGACCCAAAACACGAAAGAATTATAAAAAACAAAAAGCTAAAGGCAAGATTCATTTTTTTTTTTTGTATCAATATATATAATTTGAAGTATATATTGTAGTATACTTCTTAATTATTTTTCTGTATGTCTTTGTTGATTTATAGAGTTCTGATGTTCGAAAAAATCTTATCTCATTTACAGCAGGGTATATTCAGAAATTCTTTTTAAGTATGTTTGACTAATATTATTTTGTCATACAACATGTTAAATCAAAAATCTTATCTCATTTACAGCAGGTTGTATTTAGAAATTCTATAAATATGTTTGACTAATATTATTTTGTCATAAAACAGGTTAAATCATTTACGTATATTTGACTAGTTTTATAATTCTTGTTGTTTTCTTTCTCACACTTAATAAATTGGTCAAAGTTTGAGAACCAACTTAACTTAAAAGAAAAGATTCGTTTTTGACCTTTTTAAGACCATCATTATGGGTGATCTCTTAACAAATCTTAGTTTCTTAACAAATTTTAGAGACCACCGTTTCTTACATTTTTTATAAACGTCTCAAGTCTATACGATCTCTCCATTAAAATTACATATTAATGATGTCATGACGGTTACAATATGACTCATTATAATTGCCAATGTATTATAGTACTAATTATTTCTCAAACGTAAAAATAAAAATAAAAACCGGATTTAATAAAAAAAAGTTGAAACAAGAGTGGACCATAAAATCTATATCATAGTAATCAAACGTACTATTATATATCAAACATATAACGTAATATAATACAGTAGATAATAATATATGTATCACTTAAAAGATATAATCATGGTTCTGACATTTTTGATTCGATGCATCAACAATTATTTGGTTCAGTCTTGGTAACAATTTGTTTAGATCATGTGTTCCTTTGAACAAGATGAGTAAAGAACACATTGATACATTATCAATTAATCAGTAAATTAATATTTCTTTATAAGCTTGAAATAGCATTACAGAAAAGAAAGAAAAATAAAAATCATATATTATTACTTAGAGCAACATTATAGGCAAGCTCTTAAAACTGAAATAGAGTATCTTAACCTTAGACCAACCTCATCGGCAGAGACCCTCACAGTCTCTCAACATATTTTATTTAATCATTTTCTTTTAATATTATTATTTGTTTAAATTAAAAATAAAAAAACAAAAAAACTATCCTATTATAAAGTGACAGCAGAGGAGAAGCGATTATCTAGAGTTCTCATTTGAGAGACTAATTACAGCTTCTCTTTTCCTTTATTGTTATTTAATATTGTTTAATTAATTAGAACCTCGCCGTTAAGGTTGCCCTTAGTTTTTGTTCCAACGGTAGTCGAGCTTTTCAGGACCACGGTTTTTGGATAAATAAATGCCATCAGGTTTGGCAATGTATACACGTAACTCACCGCATCGAGGAACTGGAGCACTTCCTCTGTATGCTCTAAAGTATTGAGAATACGCACCTTGCCGCAACATGCAATGCCATGTTGTCCTTTCAAGATAAGCCTCTTTGAAATTTATTTGAACTGGATTACTTTTGAACTTCACTTCGCCGTTTACTCTATCCTTTCTGTTGGATTCGCAAATGACTTTGAGATTACTACCAGGAGTTAGTAGGTTTTGAATGATTAGAGTGCACTCTTTGCAAGCTTCATTGAATCCGAAAGACAAAGTGATAACTAACAAAAAAGCTATGTGACGATTCATTTTTTCCTGAAAATAATTTTCTATGAATGAACATGAGATACTAGGAGTTTATTTATAGTCTTTTCTTTATTATTTATAAAATACTACAAGTTTTATAGGCCATGCAAAAATTAGAACACAAACGTAGTGAACCAGTTAAACTCTTGTGGTTGAGCGAGCTTTTTGTATCTAAGAATAGTTTTACTGTAAAACGCAATTTGTTTTAATGAAAAGGATATAGAAGAAATTTAAAATTGCTTTCTGATCGAACAGCAACTATGGCTTCATCATGTTACAAAGGCTGACCACTGAACCACCTTTTGAACATGATGGAAGTCTCCTCTGGTTTGTACTCTGGTGTGTGTCCTCCTCCCTATTATCAAAACCCACGAATTAGCTAAGAACATAATGTGACGACCGTTGCCAAAACATTGAGTAAAAACACTAATTAAACAAAAACAAAAACAAAAACAAAAAAGAGGAAAAATACTTGCTTTGATTGTAGCAAATGTCATCTTATTGGCATAACTCCTCGTGTACCTACCACAAAGAAAGCGAGCTACTCTAGTGAGCTCATACAACAAGAGAATGATTTCATAATAGATCCCATCAAAAAAAAAAGAGAGAAACAGTGATACCCTCCGATTTGATCGCCTATCATCCAAGGTCTCCAGTCATCAATGATAGAATAATTAAGAGACCTAATCCAAGCTTGCGTTCCAAGGAAAGGCACTTCCATGTCGTGATCACCACTGTTCACCCAAAAAAAGGTCCAAAAATCAAGTTTACAAGAAAAAGTCTTGAAACTTGAAGGATTTCTTGAAAAGGTTTTTAAAGCTGACCTGAAGATGAGAGAAGTATAGCCATCGATGCTGTTATTCATATGGTAGGGAACACTGCTTTTAATGTCATGAGTGTAAGGCATGTCCCAATCACAACGTACCCATTCCCCTATACTCCCCTGCAATCACTCCTTAAAAAGAGTTTGACACTTTGTTACCAATAATATGAAATTGATCCCTTTTTCCATGTATAATACCTTATTGACATGAAGAGCTCTCTGCACACTCTCATCATTGGCCCAGTAGGTTGTTAACAAACCCCGATAATCCTGCAAACCGCAACCTTGTAAAATACTTTTTTTCTCATTGGTTTAAAAGTAGGCAAGATGGATTACTTACATAGCAATCAGGAGATGTCTCTTCACAGTCTGGCGTTAATATAAGTGGTTTGTTTATTCTATCAGTGCACTAGAAATAACCACAAGAGTCTGGATTAAATATGAGTTTTACTAGGTAGACAGAACAGAATTACGTACATCAACTAAAATTTTTCCACGAGCTTATGTGTGTGTACCTTTTCATATTCTTCCACGAGTTTCAAGCATTTTGTGTTACGTGGATCAACATTTATATATTCTCCTTTGCAGATCCTCTTCATTGACTGCAAGAAAAGAAGAGTTTTTTATCAACTCTAATTGTGGAGACAAGAGACAGAAGCATGTCATGATGTTTCTTACCTCATAGAGTTCATCTGAGATCAGTGCCATTCCATGCGCATATGGAATGCGATAGTTTTTATCAGTATCACTTTCTGTTGATGGGTTTCCAAGAACATACCCCTGTTTTTTTTTGTCAGTGTACCAAAAGGACGAAATCTGTAAATTTTATGCTCCATAAGGTATTATAGATAAGAAGCAACAAATACCAAAGGAACCTGAAGATTTATTGGAGGTTTGCAACATAAATAATTTCCTGCATCATTGTTTATATAAACTATAAAGAAACGAGACTCTCAAAGAAAAGGGCTTGGAGATTGAGGATATGCAAAAATAAGATCATACCTTTTGAGATTTCTTGAACGAGTGCCGGGATGATCTTACCGGAATAAGAATCCCCCCCGACATAGAAAGGGTTGGAGAGAAACTCTTGATGCCTGCCTAGCCACTGCACAACAACCAAAAAAGGAAAAGAAAAAAAACTTCTAATTAAATGTTTATGTATATGCACAAAGAAGAGATGTTTCAAGAGACAATTTCGTTAGTCTTATCGCCTTGTGAAGAAACTCATGGATCCTCTTGGCTTCTCCTGAATCACTGGGTTTATTAACAAATGGAGTTCTTGAGTAGGAGAAGCCAGTTCCAACAGGCTGATCCAAATATAATATACTCGAAATCTGAGAGAAAAATGATGCACAAGAGTTAAAAAGATGAGAGCATATACTTTGAGATCGTAATATGAGTACGAACACTGTATACTTGCTACCTTAGTCCATGAATATGTCGTAGAGACCAAGGAAGGAAGAGTTCCATTGTAAACCTCATGCTTCACAGTCACAGGCCCTGATACAAAAACATGTGGGTTTTCGTACGTGAGGATGATCAAGCTAAAAGGAAACAAATTTGAACTCAAATTACTGTGAGAAAACATTGTAGCAGCCGTTTTTGGCATTTTTCCTTTTGTCTACTTTAAAAATGCATAAAAGTGGGGTCGTTGGTGGTTAGGAATACTACACGTGATTCAATGCTCTCTATTATTATTCTTTTTATTTTATTTTTGTCTTCCAATGCTCTCTATTATCAAGTAAAAAAAAAAAAAAAAAAAACAGAGAGGTTTGTGTGTGTGATTTCTCTTGTGATATTATCTTGAAAAGAATGAATGGTGAGGAAGATATTACCATTCTCATAAAGAAGACCAGAGATAGAAGAGCAGCCAGGTCCTCCACTTAGCCAGAGCAGAAGAGGGTCTTCTTCTGGATTCCTCTCAGACTTTATGAAATAGTAAAACAGTTGCACTTCCTCTTCCTCACCAACGCCAATATACCTTTTTTTTTTTTTTGGTTTTCATTCACAAAGAATATATCATGTCATAGTCAAACACACACTTGAGATTAACCTCCAAAACACTAAGATTATATATATATATATTAATCAGAGGAGGAGGAAGAAGAAGAAAACAAACCCGGTTTCGAGCTCAAAGGGAAGAGGACCATCAAAACCAGGAAGAAACTTGACGGTAGATGCAGAATGAGTACCCTGACTGTAGAAGAAGATTAGGATAAGAAGAAGAAGAAGAGAGGAAACGTAGTCGTTAGCCATTTCGTTTCTACAAGAAAATGAAAGGCAGTCAAATAATAGTATCTAATGTTTATATAAACTACAAAATAACAAAAAAAGCCGCTCCACGAAATAGAATTTGTGTAGATAAATTAAAATATATATATATAAGGCAGTAGTAGATTGTGTACCGTGATGATGATACACTTTTGGTATCCTTTGTCAATGTCTCTCTCTCTCTTTTGTTTCGTGGCCTACATGCTAAAACTGTCGGATATAAATCCTTCTTCCCATTCTAGGACAATAATTTTCTAAGTATAGTATTATCCCTGCCCTTTTTTTTTTGGTTCGTTGTTTGTTATTGGAGCTTTTTTAAGGTGAAGATGTTAATTCTGAAGTAGAGAATTTTTACGGAAGAAGGAAGACCGAAGACGTGCTGTTGTTGTTCCAATGGCGGTAGAGGGTTTAAATGGAAATATGAATTTGTGACCTTGAAATCAGATGGTCCATCAAATTCAGTGAAGGGTCCCAAATTATCAGCATGTTACTTTAATTTCTTACCCTACCATAGTCGTCCGACGTCCTATGCCATGTAAAGATAGTAGAGTGTTAAAAAAAAAAAAAAAACAGAATTGTATATTGAAAAAAGTAAACTGAAAAATGTAATTATTTTCTCTGTGTGAGAAAACCATAAACGATAACTAAATTGAAACCGAAGGACTATTAAATATATTCAAGGGAGTATATAAAATTCAATTATTCGGATTTGACCAAATCTTCCAACATATTACAATTTAGTGGAGTACGAATTTGTTCACCGAGAGGTTCCTCATCAAAACTGAATTAAACCTTCCAACTCGCTTCATGTACAGTAGCAAGACCACTCGCTATCTCTCTTTGATTTTAAGAATCAAATACACCTACGAATATACATTGTGATTATAACATCAATCAATAGCTCATTCAACAAAAGTGAAGTCGCAAAATCAAAAACATAAGAGGCTCGATCTGGAGAGACTTATAAGTCCCCTCGCATCTTCTCCTTAAGTGAGGGTTCCTTGTATGATTTGATTTTTTCAGCAGCTTGCCTTGAAGGTCTTCCACCTGTTGCTTTTCTCATCTCCTCTGATTCATCGCCTGCTGGTTTGTTCTTTGATTCTCTCTTAACCTCCATTGAAACTGTACACGATATTGGACTAGACTCATCAACAATGTCATCATCCAAAGGCGGATCTGCGGTTTCTTTGATGGCTCTTTGAGTTTTAACATTTGCAGATTGTCTTCTTGGACAGACTCTGTCAAAATATACCATTTAGATAACAGTGTCGACTCTTTAATTCATCAAATCATAGATAATATATCTATTACTACAAAACCTGCTTTTCGCGGTTGTCTCTGTCATGTCATGTGGCTCTACTGCTTCGGGTTTAGACCCTATAGACTGTTCGCTTGCAGAGCATCTGAAATCACATCCATAAAGAATAATGTGGAAATGGCATAAATGTACTTGGTTTATGTAAAATAAGTCATCAGTCAAGAGTGGAAAAAGAAAGAACATGCGCTGCTTCTACAAACCTGGCATTTGCAGAAATCGCTTGACCATCATGTAGACCATTCAAGTTTTCAGTCACGCCCAGCTCTTGGAAATTAAACCTTGCAGACTGTCTTCTCAAAGACACCCTATGAAAAATAAACCGGATTAGATAACAGTATGTCAGTATTAACTCTGTACTTCTGCAGAATATAGGAAATTAACCTGCTTTTTCCGGTTATCTCTTTCGAGACATGTGGTTCTCCTGTTTCAGGTCTGGACCCGATAGATTGTGTACTTGCAGAACATCTGAAATGGCATCCATGAAGAAAGAAAATAAAACGCAACATAAGTGTACTTGATTCAGGATTAAGTTAGTGGAGAATGAAAGAACACGTTCTGCTTCTACTAACCCGGCCTTTGCAGCAATCTCTTGATCATCATGTAAACCATTTAAGTATTCAATAACGCCCAGCTCTTGGAAATTAAACATCATAGACCTGCAAAAATTCAAATCGCATTGTAGCATTATTCATAGAAGTACACTACTTATAAAAAGAGCCTAACGCCTATAGCAGACCTTCTCCTCCTGACTGTCTCTATTGACTCATGATAGCTTTCAGATGGCTCAGGTTCTTGAGATCTTAACCGGGCAGAACGTCTTCTCAAAGGGAACCTGCTTGAGACACAGAGTGGAAACTCACTCGGCATTGGCACTAATCTTCCTCTGCTTGGAATGTTATTCGTAAATGAGAAACTGGATAAAAGGCAGTTAACAAACCTTGCATCCTCCTTAATTTCTTTGGCGTCAACCACTTTATGCAAGTTTCCCGATTGGACAGTTTCTATATTTTTATCGCTGGCAGACTGTCTTCCTGCACAACACCTGCAGCAAAAACAACCCAAAATACAAAATAAAAGCACTAGTAAGATAGTGAAATTCAAATTTGTAATTAAATCATCAAATCCCGTTCAAAAAATGAACCTCTTGCTTTGGACATTGTCGTCTATATGGTCTTCAGCATCAAGGACAAACTCCTTTTTAATAGCAGCATTGTTACCATCAGAGACCAACTTGTTGTTGTCAATGTTGTCTCCCGTCTGACATGTCTCTCCCAGTCTGCGAATAATATCTAATGTTGCGGGATTCGTCCTTCCAGAAACTCTCCTATAAAGAGAGGCAAGAAATCCAGGATAACCTGATTGCCTAAAAGTTTCTACAGAATAATGGATGAAACATGAAGCAGACTGAGCAAGAGAGTGACCGGACCTTTTATTGTTAGCTTTCTCATTTATTTGCAATGAGTTAAAGTTTGAGGTCTCCGAAGCTAAAAATGAAATGAAAGGTCACTAAAGGTGAGCATGCTAAGAGATTCCTAAAATGAAATTAAACCAAAAAGGTTACATTTCAAGCTTGACTGTTGCATTATCTTACCAGTCTCATGACCCGCATCATTTGACTGAAAGGTTTAACAATCCCCACCACAAGCATTTGCACGAGCCAGAATATCACAACAATGCAGAAGAAATCATAAGAACAATGGAGCATTGGGTTCATAATGTCCCATTCCAAAGGTCACAAAAGCCAATTCTCATTAGTACCTTCACTTTTGATGCATGACGTGAACATGGAAGGGTTTGCTCCTGGGAAGGAAAAGTGACAAGTGATTAATTTTATTTAGTTTGTAATCATGGTCAACGAAAATTACATACAAATGGATAGTATACCTTAAGCAGTTTTTTCCTAGCCATGACTAACCCATTCTTGCAACCAAGTTCGTGCTGAAGTACCTTCAGCTGAAATGCACAGAAAATTTTGAGAAATTTTGGCTGAGGAACTTATAATTAATGATCATACAAGCCTGTGTTTGAGCAAGTTAAGTTCCAGAAAAGGCATACTTGGTCTTTGCTTGTATTGAACTCCTGCCAGGAAAGAAAAGTGAAAAATAACTTTGAAATCATACTGTAACCAAAGAATTCCCAAAAACCATTTCGAGTTGACCATACAAAGACGAGACTTACCGCCAAGATACGAGTGTTTGCCTGGGCAAGTAGCAAATTCTGTTCTCTAACCTTCTGAAAGTTAATCCTAAGTTTATGCAGCTCACTTTTGATGCCACTGTAGCCACACAAAAAAAGAATAAGAATTAGCACCAAATTCATGTAGACAAAACTCACAACTTTCATGAGTTCGAACAAAAAATTACTCTCTCTCCACGGCCACTTTCCTCAGTTTCATGTTTTCCTGCAAAAAAAAGTTGATTAAGCGCCTAAATAAGCACAGTGAGAGACTAATATAATATGAGTTCATAAATTCCAAAATGGATTAAGCATTGCCTTTTGAAGATTTTCAGCATCATCTTTGGAGAAGAAGAATATATCTTGTTGCTGCTGCTTCGCTCCCTGGTTCACTAGTTTGTTCTGATTCTGCAAATTAGTAATATCTCCCAATTTTCTTCTTTGAGCACTGTTCATTGGAGGTTCCCTAACCAGCTTCTCTACAGATTCCATAAACAAATCTAAAAGTAAATGTTCATGGTAACTCTAGCATTCTCATTTACTTCGATAAAAAAAACTCAAGAAACACCTAAAATCGACAAAGAACAACACTGAGCCCAGAGATTTCAAGCAAATGAGATCGAAACAACCTAATGCGAAGAGAAAAACGAACAATTAGCGAAGATCCAAAACCTATTAGGTTACTGAGACTCGATTTAGCATCCAAACGAGAGCAAAACAATTGAAATTTCCGATTAAAGTAATCTACAGAAATGTGAGCTCTCTATTTCAAATTCCTAGGAAGACGAGCAGATTGCAAATAGAGATTTCGTAAGCAAGACTAAATTCGAACCTCCACCGGCGTGATCCCCGACTTTAGGAGCCTTCGTTCGAACCATGGTGAAACCCTAATCGACTCGTCGTGCGCCTTATCGGAATCGGAATTTGAATCCCGGAGGGAAAAAAAAAAGAGTGAGTGAGAGTGACTGAGTGAGTGTACTACGACGACAAGTGAGGGTAAAACAGTAAAACGCTATTAAATTGCATGAAGAGGCTCTTTTTTTTTTTTTTTTCGTCAAGAGGCTCTTATTTCACAATCAAAACATGATTTGTGACGAGAGAAATTTTTTAAGGCCCTGAATGTTTTTAATGGTTGGGTTTTAGATTATATTTTTTGGATTTTGAGAAAAAGAAAACAGAAGATATATATAAGCAAGATAAGAAAATCTCCACCTGAAAAAAATGATAAACTCGAGTATTTGATATTTTTTCGATTTTTTAGTGAAAATTGGTGAGAAACTTCTAAAACTAGATTTCCTTTTTTCAAGAGAAAATACTTTCACAAAAATCTTAATTGAGTAAATCCAAAATATATTCCAGTCCAAAACTTTTGGCTCAATTTCATTCGGTCGAACTCTTAACCGGTCACTTGCTCTGTTCGATGAGTTTAAAAGAGAGATTCACAATTTTAGTCACGTTTCAGTCTTCCTTATTCGCGCTTAAAGTCTTTTTACCTTAACTGAGAAAAAGAGAAACAAGAAACCCTTATCCAAGAATCAATCTTTGATTCGATACAGATCTTTTCACAGCGAGCATTCATGGTCCTGCCATTTGAGTTAATCGAAGAGATTCTTCACAGGACTCCGGCTGAATCTTTGATCCGATTCAAAACGGCGTGCAAGAGATGGTACAATCTCATCAGCAGAGACAAGAAGTTCATGTACAATCACTTAGATAAGTCTCCGGAACGGTTTCTGAGAATCGATGGTTGTGAGATGGTTCAGATCATGGATCCGGCGACAGGGATTTCCTCGGTTACGCCAATCCCACACGTGTTTCGCGACACGTATTCGATTATTTCTATGGTTCACTGTGATGGTCTGATGTTGTGCATTTGTCGAGGACATAGGGCTAACGCCTGTCTTGCAGTTTGGAATCCTGTTTTGAGGAAGTTCAAATGGGTCAAACCCTCTGTTCGTTGCTGGAATAGTGATTACTTCGGGATCGGATACGACAATGCATCTCGTGACAAGTACAAGATCTTGAGGTTTTGGGGTCCTCTGTCCCATCCTAATGATGATAAATCAGATCCAAAGTTTGAGATCAAAGAATCCAATTCTGATTCGTGGAGAGTTCTTCTTGGTGCTGAGTTTGATGGGGAAGTAGATTTGGATTGCAGAGGTGTGTCCGTGAAGGGTAATATGTATTGGACTGCTGAAAACAATAACAAAGACGGCTTCATTCTAAGTTTCGACTTCTCCATGGAAACATTCAAGGACTTGTGCCTTTGTCCACCTGAATCTTCCGTTACTCGAAAATTAGCCTGTTTCGATGGAGATAGACTGTCTTTGTTACAGCAGCATTATGAAGAAGAATCACCGGAGATTGAGGTGTGGGTGACAAACAAGTTGAGCGACGTAGTTGTTTCGTTTCACAGATATTTAAGTGTCACTAAACCTGGTGCTGCAGCGTTATGTTTCAATATGGCTATTACGGGATATTCCGTTGGCAAGCACAGAAATATCATGGCTTGGTGCGAGGGAGTTGATCACAAAGAAGATGATGGGAGGAATGTTTGCATCAAGTTTTACGAAATTGATGAAGGTAGGATCACAAAACAAATTGTGACAGGAAGATATCGACAGATTATCTACCGTGGATCGTTGAATACTCGTAGCTATGTGTATGTTCCAAGTCTAGTTTCGATTCCTGGCCAGAGGAATAAGAGGTAGAGAGATATATACGAGTGTGTTTCGTTTTCTTAATTAAAAGCTCTGTTTTTTGGTTTTTGTTGATCGTCTACCATATATTTTATGTTGAAATCAACTATGATAATACATACAGATGTTATTGAAATTGACCTCTGGTTTTGGTTTTACAATCTTGTGAAGTCGTTTATGGAATTATCCTTTATATGCATGGGTTACGACGTAAAATTGGTGTGTGCTAAGTTTTGAAGGTTTAGAGAAAAACAAAATGTGAAATTTTCTAGTTGATGCAAAATACTTGTTTTTCTAGAACTTATGCAATTTTATTTTGAACATGTAGTACTCTTAAAAAGATTAATGGAAGAGACAAGAGGAGACTTAATTAAACTTTAAAAAGAAAACTTGGAAACCAAGAAAAGAAGTTACCCTAGAATCTAATTGGGAAAACCCTTAAACGTTTTTGTTGGGTTACTTTAATTCGATTGGTATTTCGGTCCGGTTTAAACGTAACCGAGTCGCATGCTCCACTCATATAGGTTGGAAAACCACAATTTTCGCAACCGGTTCGCTTGGTCGAGTCGTTAAAAGAGATTCACAGTTTGGTTGGGTTTACAAAAGAAAAATGAATTTCTCGTTTCCTTCTTCCTCATTCGCGCTTTAAATTCAATAAAAAAAACTAACAGAAGAGAGAAACGAAAAAAGGAAACAAGAAACCTTTGTTTAATCTTTCAAGAATCAATCTCTCTCACTCTCACTCTAGTCACATCTTTTTTTTTCTTTTCTTTTCTTTTCAAAGCGTCCTCCATATGGATGGTTTGTCGTTGCCGTTTGGGTTAGTGGAAGAGATACTTTACAGAACTCCGGTGGAATCTTTGGTCCGATTCAAAGCGACGTGCAAGGGATGGAACGCTCTCATCAGCAGCGACACAAGATTCATGCACAATCACTTGGATCGTCACTCTTCTGAACGATTCATAAGAATCGATGATGATCGTGCGGTTCAATTCATGGATCCGGTGACCGGAATCCACTCAGAAACACCAATCCCAGACGAGTTTCATCATCCGTTTCCGGTTTCTTGCATGGTTCATTGTGATGGACTAATGCTGTGTAGATGTGAAGATTGGGAAAACCTAGAAAACGTCCGTCTGGCTGTTTGGAATCCGCTCTTGAGGAAAATCAAATTGATCCAACCATTGGTTTGTTACTGGAAACGTGATTGTTTCGGGATTGGATACGACAAGGCATCTCGTGATAACTACAAAGTCTTGAGGTTTGGTTATAATCTGTGCCTTCCTCGTGGTGAATCATATCGAGATTATGAGATATATGAATTCAAGTCTGATTCATGGAGAGGTATTGAGGCTAAGTTTGATGCGGATGTACTTATGGAGTGGGAATGTGTGTCTGTGAAGGGCAACATGTATTGGATTGCTGCAACGGAGGAACGTTATATCATTCTATGTTTTGACTTCTCATTGGAAACATTCAAAGAGATATGCGCTTGTCCTCCCTTTTGGAAGAGCAGTAAACGATTAGAATGTTACAGTGGAGATCGACTCTCTTTCTTAACACAAGATGGAAAAAAATCAAGGAACATTATGGTGTGGGTAACAGACAAGTTGAGTGATGAGGTCGTTTTGTTTACCAATTATTTCAATGTCACTACTACCCCCTACCTTCCGCGGTTACAGTTCCATACTCGTCCGGGATACTTCATCGGCAAGCACGGATATATCATGGCATGGTGTGAGCGTGAGGGAGTTGTACAAGGAGATGATAAGTTGTATTCTTTCTTCACTCTTTACGAAATTGGTCATGAAGGTCGTGTCAGAAAGGAGATTGTGACAGGAACACGTGGACTCGATGACTTCAGTGGCCTGTCAATTTGTAGCTGTGTTTATCTTCCAAGTCTGATTCCAGTTCCGGAATAAGAGGTAGATTATATAGAGGGTTGCTTCGTCTTCTTCTCAAAGCTCTGCTTTACTTCTTTTTTTGTGGTCTTTGTTGATCGTCTCCAATGTTGTTGAAGTCAACTATGATATCAATATACACAGATGTTTTTTGATTTGACCTCTGCTTTTTGTTTTGACATTACGATCTTGAGAAGATATTATGGATTTGGTGCAGAGCATACTTGTATGTGTGTATTATAGAATCAATCATTCATAACACACAGATGCAGAACACAACCGTTTCTTTCTAATTGATGCAAAATACTTGTTTTTCTAGAATTTATGCAATAATAATAACCCAAAAAACATTTAATAATTTTTCTTTTTTGAACATGTAGTACTCTTAAAAAGAAGATTAATGGAAGAGACAAGAGGAGACTTGATTAAAACTTTAAAAGAAAACTTGGAAACCAAGAAAGAAGTTACCCTAAAATTTAATTCGGAGAATCCATTTAACATATTTTTTGGGTTACTTTGGTATTTCGGTCCGGTTTAAACGTAACCGAGTCGCATGCTCCACTCATATGCAGTAGGTTGGAAACCACAATTTTGGTTCGGATGAACCGGAACCGGTTCGCTTGGTCGAATCGTTGTTGATGTTGTTAAAAGAGAATCACAGTTTGGTTTGGGTTTACAAAATGAATTTCTCGTTTCCTTCTTCCTCATTCGCGCTTTAAATTCAACTAAAAGCTAACAGAAGAGAGAAAACTTTGTTATATCTTTCAAGAATCAATATCTCTCTCTCTCTCTCTCTCTCACTCTAGTCACATCTCTTTCTTCTTTTCTTTTCTTTTCAAAGCGTCATCCATGGATGGTTTGTCGTTGCCGATTGGGTTAGTGGAAGAGATACTTTACAGAACTCCGGTGGAATCTTTGGTCCGATTCAAAGCGACGTGCAAGGAATGGAACAATCTCATCAGCAGCGACACAAGATTCATGTACAAGCACTTGGATGATCACACTCCCGAACGATTCATAAGAATCCATGATCATGATGCGGTTCAAATCATGGATCCGGTGACCGGAATCCACACAGAAACACCAATCCCAGACGAGTTTCATCATCCGTTTCCGGTTTCTTGGATGGTTCATTGTGATGGACTAATGCTGTGTAGATGTGAAGATTGGACACGAGGCCGAGGCCAAACCGTCCTTCTGGCTGTTTGGAATCCGGTCTTGAGGAAAATCAAATTGATCGATCCATTGGTTTGTTTCTGGTCACGTGATTATTTCGGGATTGGATACCACAGGGAATCTCGTGATAACTACAAAATCTTGAGGTTTGTTTATAATGATGGTGAACCATATCGAGATTGTGAGATCTATGAATTCAAGTCTGCTTCATGGAGAGCAATTGATGCTGGGTTTGATGCGGGTTTAGATATGGAGTGGGAATGTAGCGTGTCTGTGAAGGGCAACATGTATTGGATTGCTGAAACGGAGGAACGTTGTATCATTCTATGTTTTAACTTCTCCGTGGAAACATTCAAAGAGATATGCGCTTGTCCTCTCTTTTGGGACAGTACTAAACGATTAGAATGTTACAGTGGAGATAAAATCTCTTTGTTAACACAAGCTGGAGGAGAATCAAGAGACATTGAGGTGTGGATAACAAACAAGTTGAGTGATGAGGTCATTTCGTTTACCAAGTTTTTCAATGTCGCTACTACTCCTGATCTTCCGCGGTTACAGCTCTATACTAGTCCGGGATTCTCCATCGGCAAGCACAGAAATATCGTGGCATGGTGTGAGCGTGTGGGAACTGTACAAGGAGATGAGCAGTTGTATTCTTTCTTCACTCTGTACGATATTGATCATGAAGGTGGTGTCAGAAAGGAAATTGTGACAGCAACACGTCCACTGAATGACTTCAATGGCCTGTCAATTTGTAGCTGTATTTATTTTCCAAGTCTGATTCCCGTTCCGGAATAAGAGGTAGATTATATAGAGGGTTGCTTCGTCTTCTTCTCAAAGCACTGTTTTTTTTTTTTTGGTCTTTGTCTTTGTTGATCGTCTCCAATGTCGTTGAAGTCAACTATGATACTCATCTATAAACAGATGTTTTTGAATTGACCTCTGCTTGAGAGGATATGGGGTTTGGTACAACGTTGTATTTTGTATGTGCATCAGAATCAATCATTCATAACCCAGATATAGCCAAATCCCACAAGATGCAGAAACTACGCTTTATTTCAATTGTATTTTCATGCGTATATGGAACAGTCCGAGAAATTGCAAGCTAATTAATTTGGAAACTCACAGAAGCAGAAAACAAGCATTCTGCTGTTATCCTTAAAACAATTTCTATTTATAAAGAGAGGTAAGGAAATATCTACAGATTTGCACCCTGTGTTTCCTCAACGTTACACATTACCCCTCGGGTAAAGAAGACAGAGGCATTGCATTTGTAAACATAAAATTACAATTGGTAATGACAAACAACATAAACAGTTTATTTACCAAGACTTACAGTAAAATGTACAACGTCCAAGAGTCTTCAACGTAGAGACCGTAGTGTAGCCCATATGGCTGAAGTCAGAGATGTCAATCCTTAAGGAAAGGAAGACGAGTAATGGTATTCCCCATGCTATCTTCTGTTGCTCTCTTTGAAGAGGAAGATGGCAACATCTTCTTGGTTGATCGGCGAGGAAGTATCTGAAGGCGCGGATTAAGGTGAGTGCCGAGGTTCTCAACTGCGAGTTGGTAACTCTCAACCAGCTCTAGCTGCCGAACTATTATATCTGACCGTCTCGGAAGAAGCTCCACTGGTTCACCTCCCGGGATTACAATATATTCGATTGCTAGACGGACTTCCTGCGTTTCAGAAACAGGGGTGTCTCAGTAGACAGTAGTTATACTCGCAGGTCTCCCTAATCTATAATCACTGAATTGTATTGAGCTTTTTGTAAACTAAGCTGTAGGAATCCTAATGAAGTAATAGTTGATAGGTCAAAGAGACTGATCAGAGGTATAACAAGCCATCTCTACTGAGAAATTCCGAGAATTTTTACAGGAGGGAGATGGGAGTTACCTCGAGGGCATCGAGTTCTTCTAAACTGGGTTTGCTTTCAGGAGCATCATCTTTGATCTCAATATCATCAACAGAAGATTTCTCTATGGTTTTAGGGGCTGAGCCAAATGATTCTCTCCCAAGGATCATTCGGACCGCCTTGACCATCTGAGCCATTGTAGTTGACTGCAAGGTATAAACAGGAAGAGAATCAAGATAATGATTCGAACGAATCCAGTAAGTCATCATCAGTCATGCAAGAAGAAGGATACCTTAATAACAAATATCGGTAGCTTGTGTAATTTGGCAACACGACGGATCGATGAGTTCTGTTTCAATTCAGAACTTGATGCTAGAATGACATCTGCTTCTCCAACATCATCTGTCACTTCTATTTCGTCGTCTAAGCCCATAACTTCAGCTACTTGAAGGAGATCAGCTTCAAGGACCTAGAACACAAACAGAGGATACCATATCTACAGTTAGTATCTTTGGCTGTTTAAGATCAAGATTATTTTCCAAGGATCAGAAAAAGCACATTTAGAAACTTGGGAAGAAAAGATCAGGTTCTTTACATTGTAAGTATAAACATGAACCGGCGAGCTTCTTGGGCTTGTGTATGTGTTACTACTGGCCTTATTATACTGAATGGGAAGATAACCTTCATCTTCATCGTCAGACAGCACTTCACTTACGAAATCTCTGTTGAGCAATGGTGCAGGCTCCTCTTCAAGGGTCTCCAAAGGAACGGGAGTCACTAACTTATGAGGAACATCATCATCGCCACGAATTTGACGGATCTCAAATGGAGCGGATTTCCCTAGAATATCCACGAAGTTTGTTGTTTGATTTGGTTTCCCACTTGTCTACTCAATTACTATTAGGAGAGGGACTGTTTTAACTTACCAGCTAGTATAGCATCAACGGTGATATCTAATTTTTGATGAACACGACACTCAGTTCTCGAAATCATCTCTACAGCACAAGTAAATGTCGGAGGTCCTTTTCTTTCAAGAATTGTCTTCTGCACTTTTCTTTTCCTTGCTTCTTCATCACCAAGAGTCACACTCTAGGTAAAATAAATTCAAATTACGGTTAACTCAGATAACAAGAGAGCAAAAAAAGGAAGAAGAAGCAAAGTTACGGTCATACCTCAATTCCACCAATAAGAATCTGCAAAGAAGGATTTTTGATAATGTTGTCTATAGTCATCCCATGAGCAGTTGCAACAAGCTGAACACCTCGTTGAGCAATAGTGCTAGCAGCTAAAGCTTCAAGCTCAGTCCCTATCTCATCGATGATGATAGTCTCAGGCATATGATTCTCAACCGCCTCAATCATCACCTGCATGAGTATTTATAGCATGAATAACATATTAATAAAGCAATATCCTTTTGATTCCTTCATACACCATATGATTACAAAGCTGTAGTAGAGTTAAGAGACGTACATCGTGTTGTAAATTCACATTTGGAACTTGCATCCGCCTGGCACGGCCAATTCCAGAATGGGGAACGTCACCATCACCTCCAATCTCATTTGACGTGTCAACAATCACTACACGTTTTCTGTGTTCATCAGCTAACATCCGTGCAATTTCTCTGTACAAACCACCAAACCAACTTTGTATCAACCGGATCATCACACTATAAGTTCATAATGATGCTCAAACCTGGAGGTAAATCAATGTACCTGATTAAAGTTGTTTTGCCAACTCCGGGAGATCCTATGACCAAGATGGATCCTCCTCCTTCAATCAAATCTCTTATAATTTCTGCACTTCCAGATACAGCTCGACCCACTCGACATGTTAGACCAATTACTTGAAGTTTGCGATTACGTATAGCGCTTATACGATGCAAAGATCTGTCGATCCCCGATCTGTTATCATCCGAAAAATCACCAACCTAGATTGAAAACATTCATCAAAAACATTTGATTCAAACACAGAAGACCATAAACAGTATAAGCCATTCTTATCACTCTCTCCAAGAACTGGAATAAGCTAAAACATATGAGAAATTAGTTGCATGTGTTAGATCAGAGACATACAGACCTTTGATACTGCAAGTTCCAGATCCTGGTGGGTCACAGGCTGCTCTGAGATCACCCAATCGCCGGAAGGGAATCTAGCTAATGGCTTCCTCCCTAAATCCATCACCACTTCGATCAAATCCTCGATCGCCTCGTGCTTAACGAGCTCTTTCCTAGTCGTCGGAGGGAGAATATCGAGGAAAGCGTCGAGCTCCACCGTAGGCGGAGCCGTCGACGATGTCCTTCGAGATGAGATCGACGCGGAATTATACGAATCAGCTGACGGTGACCGAAGATCGAAGCTGAGTCCATCAGATGGTTTCCGAACAGGAGACGGCGACGACGCCGGAGACTTCGACGAAGCGATCCTCTGACGCGCACCACGTGTTCGACGGAATGAGGAGGAGGAATCGGATGAAAAAGCGGTTGTGGTGGCGGAGATTAACCGGCGCGAAGCTTGCCATGAGCTGTTGATGTCGATCAGAACTAGCCGCGAATTCAACGCCCTCATCACGATAATTAATTTTTTTTTAAAAACTATGTACTTTTGAATTAAAATAATGAATGAAATAAAAGATTCCGTTTTTCTCGTTTTAGCTGCTGGTTTATGTGTATGTCTGAAAAGCAGAACTGAAGAAGCTAAAAAGTAGAGAAAAGCTAAGGAGGAGAAGAGGCGCTATGATGATGAAGGAGAACGAGACGACGACGTTTTATTGTATAGTTTATTCATTTTCATAGTTTGGAATATTATGATGCGTGAAGACTGAAACTAGTGGAAGATTCCAAAGGATCAAAGCATCTAATTACGTAGAAACTGCATCTGTGTAGGGAGAGCAGAGTAGGGTCCATTGTGGAGGGAAGATGATAAGCAACTGGTTCCGGTGATGCCACGTGGACAGTTAGACTATCTTGTTAACACGTGTCTGACGGAGGAGCTTCCGTTTATTGTTGAAACACTGACGAAAATGTTTTTAGGCCAAAGGCGGAGTTGGTGTTTCGCACGGCAGATTGAACAAACTCGTCAACCTTTTTGCTCTGCAGTTTGAACAAATACTTGTAGACTAACTAAACCAAACATGCCAAACAATGAAATCAAAGTCAACAAAAAATTTGTATACCTAGCAACTATCTCTATACGATGGTTCCTTAGTCGGTCTTCTTCTCATCTGTCATCTTCGTCTTTTAGCTGAATGGGCTTACCTTGCTTAACAACACTAGGTCAACTTAAAGGTCCATAAGAGAATATTAGAGAAAAGGCCTTTAAGGTCCATAAGAATATTGCACTAAAAACTTTAAAGGTTTACGTGCGTGAGGCCCATTAAGGTGTTTTTCATGATTAAATTGTTATAAGTTGGAAGACATATACAAGCCGACCTTAGCTCAGTTGGTAGAGCGGAAGACTGTAGTGGGTTATCCCAAAGAAATCTTTAGGTCGCTGGTTCGATTCCGGCAGGTCGGATTTTTTATAAATTTTTCTTCTCTCTTTTATTTTTATTCTTTTCATTTATTAAAATGACTGGGACCCATCCATCTTTTTTGCTTCCCATTCAACTCGCGTGCCTAACCGTCGATGAGACTTACCCACTGACGTAATCTTGAGTGTAACGTAACAGATTCACCCACAATTTCTCAAATTTCGCAAAAATAGCCCCAACTTTCTCGGGCACGTATCATAAGATTTTTTCTTTGATATTTGTTGGCCACGTGTCCCTTCTCTTCTCCCCCAAATTTGTTCGTCACAATCTCATAAAACGAGAATCCCAAAAAAGAAGCTCAGTTGAAAAAAAAAAGAAAAAGAAACAGAAATGGAGAAACTAACTTTTCTCAGCCTTGTCTTGCATTTCGTCGTCTTCGTCGCTTCTACGTTTCCGTCTTCATCGTTTCTACTGAACGATCGCACCTTCGAGAGATCGAACTTGCCTTCAACGCGCGCCGAGAAGTTGATCCGTGAGTTAAACCTTTTCCCGCAGCAGGATCTGAATGTGATCGATGTCGCTGATTCGCCTCTCACTGCCGCGGAGGGATTGGGGATTGTTGAACGGAAGTTCGTGTTTCCGAATATACTTCCCGACGGTGGCGCTACTGTCGCTGATTTAGGTCATCATGCTGGTTATTACAAGCTCCCTAAATCTGGTGGCGCAAGGTTTTCTATCTTACACTTAGATTTTGGTTTATGCATCTCTCTGCATTTTTGTTTGTGAATATTTAGCATCTGATTTTGTTATGGTTCAATTACTATTTGCAGCTATCTGTTGACTAGGTTGTGTTTTAGTTTGATTTGAACATTGGAGTTTTGGTGACGTTTTACTTACTAAAATTCACTTGTTTGCTTGGTGTGTGTTAGCATATTCTACTTCTTCTTTGAATCACGCCATAAGAAGGAGGATGCTCCTGTTGTGATTTGGTTGACCGGAGGGCCTGGATGTAGCAGTGAGCTGGCTGTGTTCTATGAGAACGGTCCTTTCAAGATCACTAATAACATGTCTCTTGCTTGGAATGAGTATGGATGGGACCAGGTATTATTACCTTCTATGATTATCCTTGTAAACTATTTCCCAAACCGCCTTAATGCTCTAGATTTTTGCACATGAGAGTTGATTGAGATTTTTTCTTGCAGGTTTCCAATCTTCTATATGTTGACCAGCCTGTTGGAACTGGTTTCAGCTATACGACAGACCAAAGTGATATCCGTCATGACGAAACTGGAGTCAGCAATGATCTTTATGATTTTCTGCAGGTTTGGTCACTGGATTTTCTCTTGAATTCCTTTTTATTCTGCTCTTTTCTGCTTTCAAGCTATGAATTGGATACACACCTCGGTTTGACTGTTCTGATTTTCTCGAGTCGTGATTAGTGATTAAGTTTCATGATATAACCTCAGGCTTTCTTTGCGGAGCACCCTAAGTTGGCAGAAAACGACTTTTACATAACTGGAGAGTCATATGCTGGGCACTACATTCCAGCTTTTGCTTCCCGAGTCCATAAAGGAAACAAGGCGAATGAGGGGATTCATGTTAACCTAAAGGCATGTGACTATTTTATGTTTCCCTCTTCAGGTTTTAATGGAAGGTTGTGGTACTAACAAGTTATACCATGCAGGGATTCGCCATTGGAAATGGGCTTACAGATCCTGCACTCCAATACCCAGCCTATCCTGACTACGCTTTGGAAATGGGGTTAATCACGCAGAAAGAGCATGATCGTTTAGAAAAGATTGTCCCACTCTGCGAACTATCTATCAAGCTTTGTGGTACTTCCTCCCCTGTTCCTTATCAAGTTGTCTTTAAAATTGTTGTGTGTGCTTTGGTGGATCCTGAATCCATGTTTTTGGGCCTTTCAGGAACTGATGGCACAACTTCTTGTTTGGCATCCTATCTTGTTTGCAATACCTTGTTCAGTGGTGTAATGAGTCATGCTGGTCGAGTAAACGTAAGCCCAAAAGAACTGTTTAGTTTTAATTCATTGCCAATTGGATTTCTAGATAAGCAAACCATTTTTATCAACTAAAGAAGTCCACACTTTTGGAAAGAAACTGTGTTTAATATTCCTGCATTGAAATTAAAGGATAGCTCAAAAGAGTAACATCGCATTTCTTGTGTAGTATTATGACATCAGGAAGAAGTGTGTGGGGAGTTTGTGCTACGATTTCTCGAACATGGAGAAATTTTTGAATCTGAAATCTGTGAGGACGTCGCTTGGTGTTGGGGACATAGACTTTGTCTCCTGCAGTACTTCAGTCTATCAGGCAATGCTTGTAGATTGGATGAGGAATCTCGAGGTCGGAATTCCCGAACTCTTGGAAGATGGAATCAACCTTCTTGTTTATGCTGGAGAATATGATCTTATCTGCAACTGGCTCGGTAAGATCCGAACATGATAATTAAATCCAGATGTGCAAATAATGAAACAGATTAAATTCTCAGTTGAGTAAAACGTAATTGGAGCAGGTAACTCGAGGTGGGTGAACGCAATGGATTGGTCAGGGAAAACGAACTTTGGGGCAGCTGAAGTAGTTCCGTTTCTTGTGGACGGCAAAGACGCAGGCTCGTTAAAGACTTACGAACAACTCAGTTTCCTTAAGGTCGGCCTCTCTTATATAATGAAAACAGTCCTTTGTTCTGCTGGTTTTCTATTTTAACAATAACAACGGGTTTGATGATTTAAAAAAAAAAAAAACAGGTGCGAGATGCAGGACACATGGTTCCAATGGACCAGCCAAAAGCTGCATTGACAATGCTGAAGCGATGGATGGAGAATTCGCTTATTGAAGATGCTACTGTGGCTGCTCAGGGAGAAGAGGGACTGGTTGCTCAGATGTGATCCCATTTTCTTTGCGTAGTTGCATGACAACACAAAGCAGCAAATATAAAACAGTGTGTGAGCATGTGACGTTTCCTTATGTAATTTGATCTCATAAGAAAGATATATGTAGGGGTTTGCCCAATTTCGTTAAAAAATCAAACTCTGCTGACACCAAAAGGAAAAAAAATAAATACAACAAAATGTGGTTTTCTATGTTTTGTTTCCGAAATAACGAAATGTATAAAACAAAATTTAAGAAGCGTTTATACAGAATTATGTAATCGGAATAAAGCTCCGGTAGACTTGTAAAAAAACTAAGCAGGTTTTGATTTTTCTCTACATGACACATGGCAAATCATGATTGGCTAGAGGAATGATTTTATCTAGCAGGCAAGATAGAGATGAGACTAGGAGAGGAGGAGCAATGTCGATTTCTTCGTTGGGGTCTGCTATCTCAAGGCCAACTCCTTCATCATCTTCAAATACGTACTTAGTAAGCTCTTCTCGCATCTCTGGGCTCGCTACGTCTTCTTTGTTATGGACAAAGAACAAGTCTCACCACAGAAACACAAAGCTCAAGCAAAAGCTATGTGTTAGAAATTCAGCTCAAGAGATTCCACAGACACTTGAGGAAGATTCAAAGTTTGTACCTCTGGATCCCCAAGATCCTCGATTTGGCCCTCCAGTCAGTTTATTTTACCTTTTTTAATCTTTGTTTACTGTCGATAGACTGTGATGATAACAAACACTTAGATTCCATCATCTTTTGCAGGTTTTGCTGTTGCTAGGCCTTACACTTCATGAAGCACAAAAGGTAATGAAATGGAGATACCTATTACACTTTTCGAAGCTTTTTGAGTCTTTTGATTAATCTATCATCTTGTGATGCAGATACAAGAGCTTCTTAAGGAGCTCAATGGCGAATTCATGGAGGTAATCTGTATTAGTCTATCTCTGACTCTTTCAAGATCCCGAAACTTTTGGAGATTTCATATAACCTTATGTTGTTGTTTGGACACCAGATTGTCATCTGTACAGAGTATATGATCCCGCGTTCGTTATGGGAAGCAGTTAACACAAAACAGCCTGACCTGAAGAGAGTGAAAGTATGTGGCATGTGGCTTTTCTATATCTTTCCAGGTTCTTTTCTGTTGTTTCTCACATAAATTCGCCGTGCAGATTGCGCAGTCACTGCCTCGAATCTGCTTCTTATCTGGTTTGACAGGAGAGGAGATGATGATGTTCATTGATGCATTCCCAGAGACTGGTACCTACAATACAAATTTAAAATGAATTAAGAACAATAAAAGGAAGACAAGTCGGTTTAAAAACTGATGGATAAAAATGCAGGGCTGGAACCAGTTGTGTTTGCAGCTATGGTTCCAAACAGTGCTGATAAACCTATCTCTGAATTAACCGAAGAAATCATGGGAGATCATGAGTTATTGGTTAGTCAATCTCAAATCTGTTGCATCAAAGTCAGCTATGGTCTTAAATCTTGACATGCATAAAAAACAGTCAAACACTTGTTCTTCTATGCAGACCGGTAGCGGTTCCAGCTGAAAGTTTTGGGTGAGGAAGACAGCAGGACAGCTTTGAAGTTACACAGGGTTTCTGCAACATGACTCTCTATAAGTTGGGCATTCTACAAAGCATAGTGTGTTCAAGAGTGTATAGTCTTCAAATAAAGAGGTGAGATGCACAACAATGTAATCATCAAATTAAGAACAGATACACAAGTGCCCTTATTCTAGTTGAAAGGCCACTTGGACAAATATCCCCAGGCATCAATCAAATCTAAAATGAAGACAAAACCAGATCAATCTCTTTTTCTCTAATTGGAGTAGTTTCAAAATTCACATACAGTACATGGAAAATGATTTCAGTATATATAACTCAATAAGTTGCAGAGACACAATGGATTGTTTAAGAGTGTACTCTTCAATCAGGAGCTAAAATACATTGATGAACAACATAGTATCTTCGTTGACACTAGATCACTTAAGACTAAAGAACCAGACACATCGAACATGATCTCCTATGAAGACAAAACCTCAGATCAACTCAAATCCAGAATCTGAAACACACAGCGTAATTGCATGCTCCTGAGTTTTTTTGATCAATCTCACTCTATATTCAGTATTCACAGATTAGAAAACGGACCTAATAACTCTAATCTTCATCATCACTCTCATCACTAAAGTAACTAACTTTCTTCTCCTTTCGCTTCTTCCTCCTCTCTTCTTCTTCCTCTGCTTCTCTCATTCTCAACCTCTCTCCAGCTTCGTTATCCACCACCGAAGCCCAATTCTCCTCCTCAAATGTCTCCTCCGCCACAGCTAACGAGGGCGGCGCCGCAGACCACTCCCTAGTTTCCTCAGCCTCTCCGCCGTCCTCCTTCCGCCGGCCCCTTTTCTTAGGCGGCGGTGGTCTCTCCCTTGGACCCAATTGATTTCTAGGGCACTCATAGGAAAGATGCCCTTCGTCTCCACACTCGTAACACCTCGACTTATCCTTGTACACTCTCTTCTTAATAAACTCCGACGCACGTCCGTTATCTGCGGCGATCGAAACCGTCAACTTCCGACCGTTAAGAATCTTTCCGTCCATGGAACCCGACGCTTTAGCCGCGTCTTCACGAGAGACATAGAGCACGAACGCGACGCCACGTGAGCGGCGAGTGTGGCGATCCTTGAGAACAGTGACACGAGCGACCTTGCCGAAGGTGGAGAAGAGAGTGTGGATGTCGGAATTGGTGAGGGAGAAGTCGAGATTGGAGACGTAGAGGGTTGATTTCGAAGGAGCTAAGCCGCCAGATCCGCCAGGAGCTGATGATTTGGCGGATGAAGAAGGTTGTTTAGGGTTCGACGGAGGTGGTGCCGCGACGGAAGAGTAGCGATAGTAGAAAGTGTCGTCCTCTTCATCGTCGCTATGGTGAACCTTCTTCTTCTTCATCTTCCTTCACTTTCTTTTGTGTTCAAGTTCTACTAGAGCATCTTTCACGAGGTATATATATTTGATGAATTCACAAAAAAAATTCAAAAATTCTTTTTATAAATTTTGGAATAAAGTCACGTTCAATCAAAATACGGATCATACAAATTCATATAGACAATAAACTGATATAGTCAACGGATTATGAACTAACTACAGATGTTCTCTCGGCTTGGTTAGGAGTGGGAGACCCGAACTACGGATGTTCTTATCAGACAAGGATTCTCCAAAAGCGGGACTTGTTCATTCCTCCATCTTTTTCATCGTCTCACCAAGTAAGGAACCACCTACGCGTTTTAACATTATCAATGTGAATGATCAGAATATCAAAATGAGCAAGAGGGACATAACTGAAGAAGAATGAATGGATACCTGAACTTGTTGCAACTCCTGTGCCCAACATCTTGCTTTCACCTTGCATGCTGCTACCTCCTATCGACTCTACTATGGTAGGTTGTTGTTGTTGTTGTTGTTCAGAGGCTTTGCCATTGCCTAAAGACTCGGATCTTATAGTCTCCGAGATACCGTTATTACTTTGCTTCAGCGGCAGCGGTCCTTTAATCCTTCTGTGCAACCAAAACTTTCTAAGAAATGGTTTTTTAAATAGTGAGAGATTCTGTAACACATATAGATCTTGTTCTTTACCTGATCATTTTTCGCTTCAATGCACCAGGTTTCCCTTTTAATATACCTTCTCAACAATAACAAAACGAGTTAAAAATGTCATTAGTTGTTTTACCAGATACGTTATCGGGGTAATCAAATCAGGGACTTATATAGCCTCTAATCAAATCAGGCTCTAACCAGATTTTGAGCCTGAGGATGACGATGATGGTAGCTTGCGACCGGTTCGCTCAGCTTTAATAGAAGCAATGACCAAATCAGCTCCAGTACCAAGACCTTTTCTTCCCACCAGCTTCACTCCAAGTGTCTCACAAAGATAGTAAAGTCTCTTTTCATCACCACCTCTGACTTCTCTCAGGTCAAGAGCCTGTTGTCTAGTTAATAATGTATACACCTGAATCTGTTGCTGCTGGTTGAAATGAGACTGAAGCTGCTGAAACAGTATCTTGTTTGAGTGCTGATCTGCTTTTGGGTCCTCATTTCTCTTACGAGGCTCGCTTAGAGTTACCCTCAAAATCGCAGGAGATTTTGGGTCTGGATTCCTCCTACTAAAGATTATGGAAAATCCCCCAAACTCCAGATCAGGGTCCCTGAATAAATCTGCAAGGAGAATGGCACATGAATGAGCATTCCTTGATGGGTTCCTATCAATTCTTTTCCTTATGCCTCGGGCCTTTGCAAATTGAGCCATGTTTGCAGCTTCTCGCAGACCAGTAACAAAAGCTCCATGCATGGTTGCAGGGTATCGCCTTGTTGTGGCTTCCCCGGCAAAGAAAAGCCTTCCATCTCCCACACTTTCTGCTAATATATCGTAATCATCGCCTGAAGCTCCCACTGCAACATTAGAGTAAGATCCTAGACTGAATGGATCTCCACCCCACCTGGTGCAGACCGTTTGAAGTGGATCAGGGACAGTTATTCCTTGAGGTTCATATATACCTGAAATTCATTAAAGTGGAAACTGTGTCATACGTGAGCATCAACATCAACAAATCTGGAATACAAATCCTGAACTAACAATTCTGGACCTAAGTATCAGGGTTAAACTGGAAAACAGAGAGTAGGTCTCCTGAAGAATGAAAACAGCGGAAAAAACTGAATTTCGTTAAATGACAATCAATAGATAGTATAACTCTATTACCCCTAAGAATCTGAAGAACACGTGTCACTGCATCGGTGGGTGGCATTGTCTCAAACTTATGAGCAGCTTCTCCCGCAACCAATGCGATCAAGAGAGGACCACCAGCAACAGGTGCGTAGCTATAGAACAGAAAGAATTCACCTCGATAGTTCGGATCCTCAGTAAGATGACCAAAGGTATCGAGATCTGTGCTCCAAAATACATGCGGGAAGAGCATTGCAACTTTATTTAGTAACCCAAAACCTAATCTCTTAATACAATCAAGCTTTCTCTGAGGTAATTCGGGAACAAATTTGATGGATCCGTTCTTAAGGACACCAAGGGGAACTGTACACAGAACCATATCACCCTCATACACTTGATTTCCAGCAATTACCTTAACACCATTTGAACCATATCTGATTGTTTGGACGGTCTTGTCATACAAGATTGGTACATTTTCAGCCAAAGCCTGAACCAGCCTTCCATTTCCTCCAGGAAGAAAGCAGTGGTCTCCACCCATATCATATGGGTCATCTTGATCCCAGAATGCAAGAGAAAGCTTTGATACAAGGCCCGCATTTGCATATTCCAAGTTGGCAAGATGCCAGTTAAACAAACCCATTTCCTCAGTGGCCACATCATTCCCAGAAACCTGCCTGAATGTCTCGAGTGCTGCCCCAAGGGAGACATCCATGGAAACATCACCCATCAACTGCCTAAGTTTACTTGCCTTGTCTAGAAGCTGGTTAAAAGCTACCTCAACCTTCATATCCACATCCGGATCAACCGGTTTACCATCCACTCTATAAAGAGGACACTTATCTCGTACCTTGTAAAGAGAAGAACCCAGCTGTCTTGCTATAATCCCTAGAGGATTCCCTAATGTTCCAGTCAAAACACTCCCTCCTAAATCCGCTGCAGCACCTAACCTACTAGCTTCCATCTTTTTGGTATAAACCCGTCCACCGGGTCGTTTCCTACCCTCCAAAACCGTGACTTTATACCCAAATCTTATCAGTTGCCTAGCTGCAGCCAATCCAGATAATCCAGCACCCACTATAACTACATTAGATTTGCTCGATTGAGCAGGAATCTTGTCTTTAATTGCCTGTGCTATACCGAAATTAATATATCCATGAGTAACCAAGTAGTTATAAGCAGAATCCAAGAGACTACTGCAATGTTTAGGAATAGAATTAAGAAACATCTCCTTGGTGACCCAACTAGATATATTTTCTCGCCATTTCGATATGATATGGTTCCTAATCAAGATGTAATTTACTTGTTCAATGCCTCCAACCACAGGCACCACACCGAACTCAATCTCCTCCTCTGTAAGCGAATCAGCCGGAAAACCAGCTGTGAGAGCCAGCAAAGCTTCAGTGGTAGCCTCCTTATTGATCGTGATGATCTCATCACCAATCCCAGGATAATTTTTAACAGTCTGATTCGATAAATTGACCTCTACATTAAATCTACCGGAAGAAGAAGCTGAAGATGACACGAAATTGCTGTTACCGGGGACGGGAAGGGTATGAAACGACGACGCTGAGCGTTGAGACCGGCCTCTCCTTCGTTTCTTAGGCGCGGAGAAAGAGACCATCTGCTCAAAACTAGGGTTAGAGGTTGAGGTGGAGATCGAAGTCGGAAATGGATTCAAACTTGTTTCTACATAAGGGTTCGAGTTCAAATGTAGAGGAAGAGTAGAGGGTTGAGAGTGAGATACGGAGGAGACACTATCTTGGTTCTTCTCCGGTGGATTCATCGTTCCGTCGCCGTAAAATTGCAGGAGAGTGATCGGCGAAGGCGAAGAGAGGAAGAAGAAAAGGATTGTTTGGTTACCCAACTAAGTTTATCTCTGTTTAGAGCACGAAGGAGCTGTAAATTATGCTCTGTTATTGTCCGGTTCGGCCGGTCCGGTCAGTGATAATTATTCAGTTTCCAGTAAACAATTTAGCGGTTTAAGTAAATTAAATCTTAAATCTTCTATTTGTTAGTTGAGAAATATTTTGAGACAAATATTATTTGAGGTATATATCAGTAGACAGTACTCAGTAGCACATAATGAAGTTTCAACATTTTTCCCACTCAATTTATAAGAAAAAAATGCTATATTTGAGCTTCATCTAAGATGTATTTTTTTTTTTTGGTAGGACATCTAAGATGTATTTTAGTGGTTTTTTTCTTGTAAATTTGTGTGGATTAATGATGAAAACTTCAAAAATTTATTAATTTTGGGTCTAATGATTGCCGGCTACATCTATATATATAAAGTTAGCTTTTTCTCTCTTCTCATGATGCCACCTAAGCATCCACCTAAGCAACATTTTTAATTTTACACTAAAAAATTAAAATATATATTTAATGCATATTTATGTTACTTATAATTAATATCAAATTTATATAAATAAAAAATAAATTATATAAAAGAAATAAAATGTTAAAATAAGAAAAACAACATTATAATTTGTTAAAATAAATTTTTCTCTCTTCTCATGATGCCACCTCAGCATCCACCTAAGCCACATTTTTGTTTCTACATTAAAATAAATTTAAAACATTCATTTAGTGCATATTTATGTTATTTATTTAATTAATAGAAAGTTTATAAAAATAAAAATAAATTATGTAAAATAAGAAAAACAATACTTTAATTTTTTTTAATAAGTGGTAATAATATAATTTAACTTTCATTTTAAATTGATCATAGATTAATATTTTAAATATGTTACTGAGTTTTAGAATGGAAATAAATTTTGTGGTAAAATAAAAAAATATTTATGTAATTGTATATTAAAATTATAAAGAGGAAAAATAAAATTGAAAGTGAAATATTAGTTTATAGCATGATCAAAAAGAAAAAAAAATGATATTTCATAAACTGAATCAAATGCTTTTAATCCAAATTTGAGTAATGAAAAATAATAATTAAAAAAAAAATTCAAAAAGATAATAAAATATCATAATATGAATAAAAAATTAACAAAACAAATTTATAAATCTCCCGCGCGCAGCGCGGATCAACTGCTAGTATGTAATATAATTGTTTTGTTCGTTACTTCATAATTTTATTGGTTATTGGTCTATGTTTATTTTTCTTCCACAAGTAAAATTAAAATTATTAACAAATTGGGGAAAAGAAAAAAGAAACAGGGAAAAAGTAAAACAGAAAAAAAAAAATTAGAGAGAAGAAAAGTCTGGAAAGTTAGAAGAAATTGAAACGAGAGAACAAAACAAACGCGTATAAGATTTTTTCCTTTTC